AGGATCGTTCAGTGAAAATTAAAATCTCTCTCTTCGTTATTTTGGAAAAAAAGTTCGCCCATTCGCGTGTTCGAACCTGGACAATTACGTGCAGGATCGTTCAGTGAAAATTAAAACCTCTCTCTTTGTTATTTTGGAAAAAAAGTTTGCCCATTCGCGTGTTCGAACCTGGACAATTATGTGCAGGATCGTTCAGTGAAAATTAAAATCTCTCTCTCGCTCTCTGTTCGTTATTTTGGAAAAAAAGTTCGTCTATTCGTGTGTTCGAACCTGGAAAATGTGCAGGATCGTTCAGTGAAAATTAAAATCTCTCTCTCTCTCTCTCTCTCTTGCTCTCTCTCTCTCTCTCCGTTATTTTGGAAAAAAAAATTCGTCCATTTGTGTGTTTTATGCATTTGTGCGAAATTGCAACGTGATAGCTGTTACAAAATAGCAATGTGTTTTATGACTATAATATTCTGTGGATAAAACTAAAATTATCTTTTTTGGTTCTGTTTGTTTTTTAACTGTGTTCTCAGAAATTCGCGGTCTAATAATACTAAACTAACCAGTGATATTAAATTATTAATAAAATTATATAATTATATTATATATTATATAATTATATTATTTATTATATAATTATATAATTATATATAAAATTATTAATAATTATTAATAAAATTAAATTTAACAAAAAGGAATAATAATATGGGAATGGTAATTATACTTTGCCACGTGGCCATTTGCAAATACTTTCTATAATATTCTGTAGATAAAACTGAAATTATCTATTTTCTGTTCCATTTTTTCTTCTTTTTTTTAACTGCGTTCTCAAAAATCCGTGATCTAATAATACTAAACTATTCAATTATACTAAAATACCAATAAAATTAGATTTAATAAAAAAAAAAAAATTTTTTTTCTTTTCAATTACATTCTCAAAAATCCGTGGTTTAATAATACCAAACTAAGTGACCAGTGATACTAAAGTATCAATTAAATTAAATTTAATAATAGAAAAAAAGAATAATAATAATACCACTAAAGTACCAATAAAATTAAATTTAATTAAAAAGAAAAGAATGTAATAATACTAAACTAACTAGTGACACTAAAATACCAATGAAGTTACATTTAATAAAAAAAACAAATAACAATTTTCTATTATTTTTCTTGTCAATTGCATTCTCAAAAATCTAATAATGCCAAACTAACTAGTGATACTAAAATACGAATGAAATTAAATCTACAAAAAAAAAAAAGACTCTAATCGGTGACACTAAAATACTAATAAAATACTAATAAAAAAACAAAAAACAGTTATATTAAATTTAATAAAAAACAAATAACAATTTTCTATTATTTTTCTTTTCAACTGCATTCTCAAAAATCTGATAATACCAAACTAACCAGTGAACACTAAAGTACGAATAAAAATAAATCTACTAGGAGAAAAAAAAGAATCTAAGCTAATCGAAGACACTAAAAGCAAAAAGAAGTTAAATTAAATTTAATAAAAAACAAATAACAATTTTCTATTACTTTTCTTTTCAACTGCATTCTCAAAAATCTAACAATACCGAATTATAAAACCAGTAATAAAATAACAACGTACCAATAAAATTACATTTAATAATAGAAAAAAGACGAATGATAATAATAATAATAATAATAATATAAAACCAGTAAGAATATAAAACCAGTAATAAAATAACAACGAACCAATAAAATTACATTTAGTAATAGAAAAAAACGAGTAATAATAATAATAATAATATAAAATAATAATAATAATATAAAACTAATAATAAAATAACAACGAACCAATAAAATTACATTTAGTAATAGAAAAAAACGAGTAATAATAATAATAATAATAATAATAATAATAATAATAATAATAATATAAAACCAGTAATAAAATAACAACGAACCAATAAAATTACATTTAGTAATAGAAAAAAACGAGTAATAATAATAATAATAATATAAAATAATAATAATAATATAAAACTAATAATAAAATAACAACGAACCAATAAAATTACATTTAGTAATAGAAAAAAACGAGTAATAATAATAATAATAATAATAATAATAATAATAATAATAATAATATAAAACCAGTAATAAAATAACAACGAACCAATAAAATTACATTTAATAATAGAAAAAAAACGAATAATAATAATAATAATATAAAACCAGTAATAAAATAACAACGGACCAATAAAATTACATTTAACAATAGAAAAAAAAAAAAACGAATGATAATAGTAATAATAATAACAATACCTTGCCACGTGGCCAGTTGCAAACGTGTCCCGTCATCGCTTTGCAGTAATTATTCGACGGTTCCGTCTTGAATTGCCAGTCGACCGGTGTGAGTTGTAGAACCGGGAACACGACCGGCACATCGGCCATGTCCGGCTCGTCCACGCCAGCTTCCAACAGCAACACCGTCCAGTTTTTGTTCTCCGATAAACGATTCGCCAGCACCGAACCAGCCGATCCTCCCCCGATTATCACGAAATCGTAGCTGCTACGAAGGCTCGACAGGGCCACCGGTTTCACTCTGGACCCGCGATCGATGATGTCCGGCCTGTACATGCCGATCAACATACGCAACAGCACCAGAAAACTCAATTCAGGCCCGTAGGACATCGCTATCCTCATCGCGGACAATCTACCGATGCTTGCCATTTTTTTTTTTTTTTTTTTTTTTTTTTCTTCGAGTGATTTAGATTATTTTTTTTGGAATTGTGTTGTGATTTTTTTGAATCTTTCTTGTTTTTTTTTTCAAACTCTCGTTTCTTGCCGATTTCTTGATAATGTTGCCTTGATTTTTTTGATAATGTTGTCTTTCTCGTGAAGGAAGAATTTATCGTCTTTTTCAGAAAACTCTCGTTCCCTGCCGATTTCTTGATATATCGATCGGTATTACGATTATTTTCCTGAACGGAGATTCTTCCGCCAAAATTCAAAGAATTCTGCTCGCGTCACGTTCCCAAAATTGCGAACTCCGTTCCAACTTGGGTTCTCGCCGAATTTTCCGCCGCTCGTCCCCCAATTTTTGTATCTTTAGCTCGCAATTCTCTTCGAAATTTCGTCGAGCACGTGTCCCCGTGTCACAATTCGGATATTTCGCAATTCAAAATGTCCACGTTCGTAGAATTCTTGCAAATAGAGAGATCACGGTGTGACGCCTGCACTCCAGCGCAGCTTGCGATCGATTCGAGCTTCACTCAGAAATCTCACCTGCGGGATTACGTTTATAAATTAGCCCGATAATGTTCGAAATTCCTTAACGTACGTGATCAATCGATGCGTTTTTGTGCAACACGCGTGTTCCCCTTCGTCGAAAGATTTTTTTTTGCGTCGGCTCGAGCGACAAACGAAATCGCTTCACTTTCGCAAGGTCGATCAAGGTTTCTTAATCGACTCCCGTTTTGTCATGGATCCTCGGTATCTCCGGCTCGATCGATACCTCGTTCCCCGCGAGGTTTCACGTTGCTTGTTTGTCCGTTTCTCTCGCAACTTTTGACGGCCTACTTTACTTTCAGCAACGATCAACAAAAGCTCCGCTTTTATCGCGCGGAATTTGTAATCTTTCGCACGCGTGGCGCTGCCCCTTTCGGTCTTCTTTCCCGGCGATTGTCTATTATTTTCGAATGTGGGATCTGTTGCGCGGACCGTAACGAGTGACCGAATCGTCAAACAATAAATCGTCGCTCTCTTTTCCTCTCGAACTCGTATCGCTGGATGGAAATTATTGAGAAGCGATAAATTTATAATTCGTTATACCGCCTTGGATTATACTTGAAACTGAGAAAATGTTGCAATTTCGGGATAAAAAGGAAACATGTCTCGCGGATACTTTTAGAATCTGTGTGACAAAAGTTATTTCCGAACGTTTTAATTAAAAATCCATTCTTATGTTCAATTTGTTGAATATTCAGTGTCAGTTTGCTACAAGTGTTGAAAATTTTTTCTATTTTTAAATTATTCATTTTTTTTTTTTTTTTTTTTTTCTGTATTCTGTTTGAAACTTCTATTTTCAAGAAAATTTATTTACCTGATCTCGTCCTAGTTTCCTGAATTTTTCTCGATCCCTGATTTCAAGAGGCTTTTGTTTTATTAATTATATTGGAAAACTCGATGGTAATCAATTAAGCAATTTCTTTTTTATTAATTAACTTTAATGAGATTTGATGTCTTTTACGTAGGGGGAATATAAATAATTAGAAAATGAGATTATACAATGTAAACAATTAGAGAGTATAAATAATTAGAAAATAATTTTCTTCACTCTTTCCTTTTTAACAGTCAACTTAAAAAATGGAAATAACTCTGTTACTGTTATCGAAATTATTACAACAATTCAACAAATTATTCTTACACTCGACAAATCCAAAGGATTTATATATATATATTATTGGTTTTATTATTATTTTTTTTATTTGAAGTCGCATCAACCGCTTATGTGCGTTATTAGTAACACAAAGTGAATAAAAGTGAAAATTAATACAAATTAGCATACAGAATAAATCAACCAATTTGGACAAGTTGCATCATATTTCTGATTCAAGTTGGGACAATTATATCAGTCAATTATACAGATGGATGATTGCAAGTTAGGATTGCAGTGAATACATTGAAGAAAGTTTAAACACACTTCCTACATTCACTAATTGATATTTTATTATAATTGTATTTACTAATTGTTTTAAATTTTCGTGACTTATAAGCCCAATAAATGTAATTGTAATAAATGAGCAAATAGATCACTTAGTTATTAATATGTATGCAGAGAATACCTAGTATTTCGTATTAAATATAACATTACTATATGAAAAAAATAAATGTTACATTGTACAATAATTTTATAATAATTAAGAAATGTCATGTCAGACAAATAATATCAATTTTGAACTTTCTATTGTCCTCTAGTAGTGTAGGTATATTTTTCCAGGCGATTGTTTCTTTTTTTCACAGTTGCTACGATGCATTTTCACTGAAATATCTTAGAATACCTATCATCTTTAATAATGATAATTTTATAATATGATTTTCCTACGTATTCTCTAGCAGATTCTTTGCTGGCATCTGCCATTGGCAAAAGTCTTGAGCGAGGACGACAGAAAGATTAAAATTGATGTTCTACACGTGTACAAATGAAATTTGTGTCGAGCACATGTGTTACATTATATTATTATTACACTGTAAAATTGCTATTATTTTAAACTTTCTTTAAAGGTATCACTGTGCAGCTGCTCACGAAAATATTATACATCATACATAGGTGAATCAGTCTACAGAAACCTTTTATGAATAAGCTATATAATAGTGTGATCTGTCTATCATGATTATGTCGACCCAGTTTGAAATAAATTTAAATATACACAGATACTTTTAATTGAAATTGCAACGCAAATAAAAACAGACCTAAGAAAAATATTTGGACGATTAATTATCTCATAATAAATGTTATAAATATTGTAATATTCACATAAACTATCATGTACAGTATATAAACATTTAATTAAATAATATAATATATAAATATTCATATTCTACATACATATATACAAGTTCTTCTATAATAATAATAATAATAATAATAATTAAGTACTTTCGCGAATCGCGAGATACACGATACAGTTTTAGGTTCACTTGGCCAACATAATCATAACAATCGCCTTTCAAAAATGTTTCATGACACATGTGTAAAAGTTATTCCATAGAACAAGTGTCCAAATACTTTCGTGAGTTCGTTAATATTATATAAAACTTACATACTTGGCGCACAATATTTAATGACGATGGTATTCCAACAAAGCACGAAAATAAACTGGCTGTGCAAAAACGTAGGTACCGTTCGTTGCATGCTGCTGAATCAGCACCTTGAATATCAGTCAGTTTCCTTGAATATAGTCAAACATTCGAGTTTAACAAATTTAATGCCAAGTACAGTGATTTGCAAGAATCATCGTTATACATATCCTCTCCGTGTGTGTTACATATATGTTATGGTAATTTGAGAAACATCAGAAATTCTGTAATGATTTACTACAAACGTATAGAGGATATATTTTCCAAAATATTCATATTTTTATTGGCACAAGAAAATGTTTCAAATCAGTCGTTCGAGGGGGAATTTCTTTACAACCGAGAGAAACAGTTATTATTAATATCCATGTGAAAATTAATAATCCTTGTGTATCGTTATTTTAAATACGTGTATTGCGTATCATTATATTTATTAATCCTTCGTCCACCACTCGTACCAGATATTTTCCTAACCTTTCCATTCAGAATTAACCAAATATCCAATCGTGATAGTTGAACTCGACTGATTCACCGACGAGTACTATAAAATAGATAATAAAAACATAGCTCACTAGAAAAATACAACTTTATTGACATTGAGTGATTCAGTTTGTTGTAAGTCGTTTTCCCACTGAAACGTATTACATATATTCATTAAATCCCATTTCAACCTATGCTGCGCAATGATCCACTGATTGTTCAGAGCATACACTCAACCACTCTTCCTTAATAATGTCGGAGCCCTTCTCCGCGATCATAATAACCGGCGCGTTCGTGTTGCCACTGACTATATTTGGCATTATAGACGCATCGACAACTCGAAGTCCCTTTACTCCGTAAACTCGAAGCATAGCATCCACCACGGCCTCTGGATCAGTGGAAGGGCCCATCTTGCAAGTACCAGACGGATGATAGACAGTCAGCGTGTAATGTCTGACAACGCACTCCCAGTATTCATCAGTCATTACTGGAATATTCTCACAACCAGGAAACGGTTTCGGATTGATTTCACTTCCGTAACGCTTCAGCGAGGCAGTTTCGCTCAGTTCGACCAAAAATTTGATCCCTTCGACGAGTGTCGCTACGTCGAGCGGATGCTCCAAGTAATTCGGATATATCAACGGATAATCGAAGGGATCGTCGCTTCGGAGCTTGATAACACCTTTGCTTCTCGGTCTTAGGAGCATGGGAAGAACAGTCCACGCGTTGTTCCCTTTCTCGTCCAGCTCGTTGAACATCGCCTCGTAAGCTTCCCTCTTTAGCCCTATAATCCTCCATAGATTTCTACCGTTGTCAGAATTGAGCGAGCCCGCGAGGAAGAGGAACCCTAGGTCCGGATAATCGTCAGAGGCGTTCACGTACTTGGTATTGACGAAGCCGAAAGTCTCGACGCCGCCTAACACGGTCAGAGGGCCCTTTCCAAAGATCGCGTAGTTTAGGATGTCGTAGGCGTTGTACAGCTGGCTCTCGGTGTACGAAACTGTTTCGTTCACTATGAACGTAGGGGTTAGCGAGCCTATATGATCTTGAAGATTGTGGCCCACTTTCAGATCCTCGATCACCGGTATCCCGTGTTGCGACAAGTGTTCCGCAGGCCCGATTCCGGACAGCATCAGCAACTGAGGGCTGTTCACAGCGCCCGCAGAAACGATCACCTCCTTATTCGCGTGAACGCGCAACGTTTCTCCCTCTCTGACAAACTCCACCCCATAGGCTGTCTTCGACGACGGATCTATCAAGATTTTTGTAACGTGCGCTTCCAAAGCGACGTGTAGATTCTTGCGCGACTTGGCTGGTCGCAGAAAGGCCTTGGCCGTCGAACATCGACTGCCGTCTCTGGTAGTTCCCTGAGCGATCATGAAACCAGCCTGTTGTTCTCCGTTGATGTTTCTGGCCTCGTAACCCATCTCTTGGCCACCTTTCACGAACGCATTGGCCAGAGGTGTTTGGTACGGCGGTTCTTGGACGGTTAGATATCCACCGGTCGAATGGTACCTCGTCTCGGTGTAGGAACGATTTCGATTGTCCTCGGATTTTTTGAAGTAAGGCAGAACATCCTCGTAGGACCAGCCTGGGTTGCCCAATTTCTCCCAAGTGTCGTAGTCTTTCTTGTTACCGCGGACGTAGAGCATGTAGTTCAGCACGCTGCTGCCGCCGAGAACTTTGCCGCGTGGCCAGTTGCAGCGGCCATCTTGCATCCCTGAGGACGTTGTTTAGCTCTTAAGTAACGTTTAATGGGTTTGGTATTTGTACGGTAGTAGATGCGTTGAAAAATGTAAAGCAATACAAAAGGAGAAGTATGTATGGATGAAAATTGGCCGAGTCTAAAGTGATTTATAGTTCTTGATCCTTTACTATTCGATGCACAAAACGCGTAATTATGTCCAAAATAGTGTACTCGTTTTAACATTCAAACTACGAGAGCAATGTCTACAATGTCCAAGCCCTATGTTTTTAATGATACGTACAAAAATTTGAAACCTTTGACATAATTATTATAAATAGGTTGCTCGATATTATTTACCTCGACAGTAATTGTCATTGCTTTCCGTCTTGTACTGCCAATCGATGCTGGTGAGCTGCAGATTGGCAGCGAGGACAGGAATATCGTAAATGTCTCCTCCATCGCCACCTGCTTCCAAAAGGAGAATGTTCCAGTCGTTTATCTCGGACAAACGATTCGCTATCACAGCCCCTGTAACGTTAATCATTTCAGTCTAATTATGTTGGTACAAATGAACAGATTTGCTGGGTGAATAATACTTATCAACCAGAATTTTTAATCCAGATTGAAGAGGAATAAATTTGTTAAGAATAAATGTGTTTAATATACAGCAAATCTTCAATCCGAATTGTTCCAAGAAATTCCGAAGAAAATGAAATTTTTAAATAACGGTTCCTTCTGTATGAAATTTCATATTTTTTGCTCGTGAATAAAATGTTAAGATAATCTTTCGCATTTGTTAAGTATTATAATAAATATTCTTGAGTTATTTTAGTATATTTTTGCGTATTACGTGCATTTTGCACGTTTAAATTTCTGTGATCCACAGTCTACTAATGACACTAAAATAAAAACTTGTTATTCTTACAATTATCTTGAATGATTTGCATAAAAAAAATTGATTAGTCTAGACATTACGTAAAAGGTATGGAATATATTGAATATTTCAATGGCAGAACATTCGAATTATTGGGCATCCCGATAATTGAGATTTTACTGTATAATTTAAATATACAATGAATATCATGGGATAATTAAATTCATTAGTCGTAATTAATTATTAGAATATTTGTAAGAATGCTCTTATACCTGTCAACGTCAAAAGATAAAATACAGAAGTTAATAGAAGCAAATATTCATCGTTTAAATAGATACTCACGTGATTTTCAGTGTGTATAAATTATTTTAAGGTATAGACAATTGAATAATACTATTATCGACCGATAATACATATGTCTTTGCTGCATAACTTACTTTAAAGTCCAGTGTCTGTATTATCAAAAATTACTATAAGAAATTTGTATCAGTGAATAAATAGAGAGGAATTATCGAACTTTTGATCATTCGAAACTCGGTTTAGATATATAAACAGAATATTTAAAACATACCTGCAGAACCACTGCCCACTATTATGAAATCGTAAGACGGCAGTAACGATTTCGTAGGAATATTTGTCACGGCGTAACTATCAATCCAGTATTTAACGTATAGCACCACAGTCAGGAACGTCGAGAGCGTCGATATAATTATCGGATCCGCTTTCAATCCTCCGAACATAAAGCGTTGCACGTCCATTTCGCACGTGTCCGATTTTCTTTATCGATCTGCAATAATCGAATACGATCACTTGCGCGCGAGAATTATTATTAATAATTATGTTTAATGTAAATTATTATTGAATTTAAATTTTTAATGAATTATAATATTATTATAATATTATAATATTTAATATTATTGTAATAAAATATTATAATAATATTCTAAACTATTGATTCAATTAATAATCCGATCATAATTATATTTTAAATTTTATTTAAATATTATAATATTATTATAATTATTAATAAATAAAATTTAAAGTATAATTATGGTTGGATTATTAATTAAATTTATAGTTTATGTATAATTTATTAAATATTAAATCTAAATTAATAAAAAATTCTTTATATACAAATTAATGAGGGAATTAAAATTAATAATTAGAAATTGCCAGCAATAGCGGTTAAACTTATATTATAAGTTAAAACAGGGAAGGAGAGTCTAAAGATTGATACGATTTTGAATTCCGACGAAAAAAGACATAATCTTACTGACACTCGGTCGGTAATTAGCTAAATTCACGAGTGATACACAAATCTTTAAATCGTCCGCACTGTGATAATAGTTAAAAGTAACTGTTAAAAAGAAAAAAATAAAGTTAAAACACATAGAATCCGGTGAATAAAAATTCGGTTAGTTATTTCTGTTCTTTTTCTTTTTCTTTTTTTTTTTTTTTTTCAAGAACACGTTGAACCATTTTATTGAAATTTAGACTATTTTTTTTTTTTTTTGTTTAAAAGACAGGAATAATTTCGTTTCTTTACCAAAAGATGGCGTCCTTATTCTCTGCCAAAATTCTCTGTGGTTTCCGGAGCGTGTGCAGTTTGAAACGATCGAGCATCGAGGAAAATTTTCTCCCGCTTCGCGAACCTCGATTGGCTATGTGATCGAGAACAAGTCGACGATTGAACGTAACTCTGCGTGCTGTGAATGAGACACTCCGACGATTCAGTGCAAAATGTTAGCTTAATGATGTATAATTTCCCATTTAAGCGAATATAATTTCTCATGCGCGTACTCCTTCCGTCGCCCCTCCTTCTTTTTTTCGATTATTATCTATCGCTCGATTATCTATCGCTGAACTGATCGAAAGGGAACGTTACATATGCGCTGTATTTTTTATTTTTCTGTCAAGTACGTGTTACTTGTATATTATTACATGAAGCCTCGTTGCATTTTTTCACGTCAATTTATGTCAGAGTAGAACCTCTTCGCATTGTTGTTGGAATCACTCGTGACATAGATATAAATTATTGATAAATCGCGTGATCAGTGAGCTTATGTCACATGTTGGTGTTACATATACCAGATTTTCTAATGAGCTATTACCTCTGATATTAATTGAGTTATTATTTTAATTAGATTCATAAGTGTTTATATCGTTCGTGATAATTTTAACATTCGACGACTACGACGTCATCGCATAATTACGAATGTATTAATATTAATGTCGCCATTGTTACAAACTTGTTCTAGAAATGTGGAAATATCATTAAGGAGTAAGGACAGTTTGAAATTTTCAAATATAATTTTTTTGTTTTTGTTTTAAATAGTAGTTTGATGTCTTGGGAATAAGATAGAAAAGGTTCTGGCCTTTAAAACGACTTATTTTCGGGTATAATAATAAATCCGCGGATACAGAATAATTGAATTCGCATCGCTGTTTACAATTTAAAGCAAGTATTATAAAGTGTAAATCGTGTGATTCAAATATTACTTTTTGGTGAATCGAATATCAGGGGACTTGGATTCAATTTAGTTGTGAATTGTAAGAACTGCGAGCCGCGATGTATAAGTAAAAAAAGTAAGTGAAGGATACATACGAAAATTGACGTTCTGAAACTTTAAACGCGTTTTTCTCGAAACTAGGTTTTTAAGAAACGGTATGCAAAATATCTCGGAATTTAACCAACCGATTACTGTGAAACTTGGTGCGTATCTTTAGCGTAACATTTACTAGGGATTGACGATCGAACATTTTTTAATTTTCAACAATTTCGAAAAATATAAACAAAGAACGTAGAAATTTTTGGCACAAATTCGACACATCGGAAACAGATAGCTGTCGTTTTCATAATTTTCACAGAAATGAAAATGTTGGATCGTCAATCCCTAGAGAACATCGTTTACTATTGAACTTCTTTTGCCTTTTTGTTGCAGCTAATCCTGTTTCGCTGGAATCATGCACACCGATAGGCAACGTAAAAAAGAAGTTATGCAAAAGAATGCCGTTAGAAAGTTAAATAATAGCCCGCTTTTTCTCTCTTTTAATGTTGCTTTTCATAGGTCACGATGTGTTAAAATAAACCACCGAAAGCTCATATCAATCAAATATATAGTTTTTTACTAGCCCTCCGAAGTATACGTAATTTTTAGGCTCGTCACACTGTCCTGCCCCCTTAACGTCGAAAATCTGTTCTAAGATATATAAAAAAGATATTTAATGAAAATAATGTATAAAAAAAGATATAAAAACAATATATAAATTAATATATAAAAAAGATATTTATTGAAAATAAAGACATTTAAAACAGAGATATTCAATAAAGATATTTATTAAAAATTCGCCTTATCACAGGAGCATTAATATCAGAGATTATAAAAAAATCTAATAACATTTGTAGCTTTATCTTATTTTTCCTGATTCTCGTAAATTTAAATTTATTGCGAAAGAAGTGTGTTTTGACATTCGTTGGAGAAAAGATAGAATTCTACTTGTTTGGAACAAATTTTAATCAAGTACTCGATTTAACAAACTCTTACTGATTATGTTGAACCCATTATGTGAATCGAAAATCTCGTATAAGTTAAACATCGGAATTATTAGTAGTGTGTCCTAGATTTTACTTTTATATAAGCGTGCTTGTACTTTATATGTAAATATGCGTTTAACCGGAATCGAAAGGTTAACACACTATGGAAATATGTCTATTCATTGACATACGCAATATATTGAATAACCTAACGGTTTCACTTTTTCACTTCACATATATTGTAAATCGTTCGAATGAGAGGGAAAAAAAAAAAAAAAAAACTAGTCGTTCGTCATATTCATCCGAAAATGATTCTTTTTCCTATTTTTAGCACGTCGATAAAAATTTACATACAGCGTGTCTAGTTTTCCTTGCAAAAACAAATATGTTATTAAATTCAGATTCCATAAATAGCTCGCCGTGTGTAAATGCAACGTGCACGCTACTAATTTCCAATAGTAAATTGTACAAAAAGAATAACAAGAGTTGTAAGAACTCGAGACTGACTGAAAACATCGACGTATTTGTAATGAACGTAATCTAATGGCGGAAAATGGCAAGATATCCTTTCACGCATATTTTGAAGCTTTCACTTTCGTAACCCTGCGTTCATTTTTTTCTCGAAGACGTGTTTACGCGTCATTTGGAAAGATACTTTTTTCTCTCAAAAATTTGTCAAGATTTGTCTCAACAATTTGTTTTTCTTACGGACGCTAAAAATATTTTGTTACTGTTTTTTTTTTTTTTTTTTGTTTTTTACATAGCTAAAAGTAGTATATTAGTTCAAAATATCGTCAACTTTTCAATAATTGTATATTGTACGTATTTTCTGTAATAAGACACGTGACACCAAAAAGGGGAAGGGGTATATCGTACGATCTGATATTTATTGAATTAGACTTTGTTCATACATCATTTGTGTTCACAGTTATCAGATATCACGCAGTTATCAGATAATTTCTGACAGAAAAACAACCACTGTGTCTATTAATATTATATTTATATGAAAAATATAAAAATATATATTAAATTATTTGTATTATTATTTATATTTATATTTATAAATATTATTTATATTTATATTAAATTATTTGTATTATTAATATTTATAAATACTATTTATACTTATAGTAAATTATTTATATTATTAATATTTATAAATACTATTTATATTTAGTAAATTATACTAGTAAATTATTTATATTATTAATATTTATAAATACTATTTATACTTAGTAAATTATACTAGTAAATTATTTATATTATTCATATTTGTGTTAAGTTATTTATATTAAAAATATTCATATTAAAAAAAGTTGTCAGTGAAACGTAAGACAAATACGTTGCACGCTTGCGAAAGAAAAAATTCTTTGCCACATCTACATAAATGAGATGCTGTTTTACCATTTCGAAAGAACGACTCGTTATTATTATTATAAATAACAGACACACGTCTTTACGTTATTAATAATACACGACACAAGTGACAGTCGAATCATTTCTAAAAAGTATAGCACGGCGAATGCTATCATGAATCGGACACAGTGGCAGAATTCTGCTCTGTCGGTAAAATTCTAAAAAAAAAGACCAACGTTACTCTGCAATATGCTCGTAACTCGAACAAAAATCACGTCTTTCTTTTTTTTTTTTGTTATTGCTGCGCTTATGTCACGAGCACGCATATGCAGACGATACTCACCGGTGAATTTCTCACTGATAACACAACACGATGCGACGATGTAGTTTTCTCGCCGGTAATCCCTACGATACTGCTACTACTCCGATGAAGTTACTACAATACATTTAGATAATTCCCCGGTTATGCGCGTATCTCGTTTGTTTGACGTGCTTTATGTATCAAGTAATAATTAAAAATCGGGATGTATCACGTGTTTGTGCGAAGTTTCACGCATTGAATTCACAATATTTATACAGATTGTCGGCCAGTGACGCGCGCGTATCTATCGCGACACTCATTAATATTGAGCATATCTTAATTATTCGTACACTGAATATTCAAGCTGTTTGTGGTTTTTTTAGGAAAAAAAAAAAAAAAGAGGAAAAAATTGTGAGACAAGAAACCTAGGCTTTTGATGCCACTGCTGTTCAAATGCGTCGCTTATTTTGTTTTGTAACAATGTCTCTACATCGCGCAGCTGGTGGGTGGAACGAAGATACTTTTCTTCTCGAAAGTGCTGCGAATTATCGTAGCAGGCAGAAACATTGAAAAATTTTTTTCTACGACTGAACCCACGATGTGTTTGAAGATCGAAGCCTCCGTTTTACAACGACTCTTGAGAACTTACCGTACGATTTGTTTTTCGCCAATTTATCGAACTTCGAATATCAGGTGAAAATAATCTGTTGAATTGTCTAAGCCCGGTGTTCAAAGTTCAATGGAATGGCGATGGACAAATCACACGTCAAATGTTCGGGAGTCGTTGTAAAGTAGAGGCTTCGATCTTCCAACTCACTGTAGATTCAGCCATGGAAACAAATTCTCAATGTTTGTACGGCGATTTACATTTCTGAGAGTAAAAGTATCTTTACTTACCCGTTCATCACGTCACGTGAAAGAACACTTTGGGACAACACGCTTTGAAAGCAACAGCCCTGAAACTTCAGAATGACACCGGATTTATTACACCGCGATATTTTCTCTTCTACAAAACCACAATAGTTTAAATATTTATCGTTCGAGTATTAATGAGAGTCACTTTTGTGTGCAAAACAGCAGACGACTGATGTTGAATAAAATGTCGCATCATCGGAAATGATCACTCTGCTTAACTAACACTAGGCGTGAAATTTTATCGGCATATGATTTACGAAACTTCTCGTTTTATATTTTTCCTAATACGTTTCTTATACACAGCGATAACATTAAAACAAACATCAATTTCATCGCGCGTTTCCAACGTCGCAGTAACGTTTCATTTGCCCTGTTTTTGACCCGGCGCGTTTCTATTGGAATACAATACAAAATGGAAATCACTTCCTCTTGCATGGATAATATGTAATTTATCGTTGACTAGACTCGTAGAAGGACGTTTTCGCAATTGTTATATGTCGCCTCGCGGCTGATCGACCGGAAGCTTTAGACTGTTTGTAGATACAAGGCTTTCATTCGCGTGACTTTTAATGGCAGACAAGGTTTACTGTTTCTTGTACTGTTAGGTGTATAAGGTAGCCTTAAATTATAGTTGTACAGGTCAGGTATAGTGTCGTAAGTAATTCGTCAATAACTTTACGAATTTTATATGAGAGACATACGTATGAATGTACATACGTAATACATAAGCTTAAGAGGGCAGGACAGTGTGAATAAAATGATCCAAACAAGTAGAATTCTATCTTTTCTCCTACGAATTTCAAAACACACTTCTTTCCCAATAAAATTTTAAATTTACGAGAATCAGGAAAAATAAGATAAAGCTACAAATGTTGTTAGATATAATCTCTGATATTAATGCTCCTATGATAAGGCGAATTTTTAATAAATGTCTTTATTGAATATCTCTGTTTTAAATGTCTTTATTTTCAATAAATATCTTTTTTATATATTAATTTATATATTGTTTTTATATCTTTTTTTATACATTATTTTCATTAAATATCTTTTTTATATATCTTAGAACAGATTTTCGACGTTAAGGGGGCAGGACAGTGCGACGAGCCTAAAAATTACGTATACTTCGGAGGGCTAGTAAAAAACTATATATTTGATTGACATGAGCTTTCGGTGGTTTATTTTAACACATCGTGACCTATGAAAAGCAACATTAAAAGAGAGAAAAAGCGGGCTATTATTTAACTTTCTAACGGCATTCTTTTGCATAACTTCTTTTTTACGTTGCCTATCGGTGTGCATGATTCCAGCGAAACAGGATTAGCTGCAACAAAAAGGCAAAAGAAGTTCAATAGTAAACGATATTCTCTAGGGATTGACGATCCAACATTTTCATTTCTGTGAAAATTATGAAAACGACAGCTATCTGTTTCCGATGTGTCGAATTTGTGCCAAAAATTTCTACGTTCTTTGTTTATATTTTTCGAAATTGTTGAAAATTAAAAAATATTCGATCGTCAATCCCTAGTAAATGTTGCGCTAAAGATAGGCACCAAGTTTCACAGTAATCGGTTGGTTAGATTTCGAGATATCTTGCACACCGTTTCTTAAAAACCTAGTTTCGAGAAAAACGCGTTTAAAGTTTCAGAACGTCAATTTTCATATGCATCCTTTACTTACTTTTTTTACTTATACATCCGCGGCTCACAGTTCTTACAATTCACAACTAAATTGAATCCAAGTCCCCTGATATTCGATTCACCAAAAAGGTATATTTGAATCACACGATTTACACTTTATAATACTGCTTTAAATTATAAACAGCGATGCGAATTCAATTATTCTGTATCCGCGGATTTATTATTATATCCCAAAATAAGTCGTTTTAAAGGCTAGTATCTTTTCTATCTTATTCCTAAGACATCAAACTACTATTTAAAACAAAAAAAAAAATCGATTTTTTGAAAATTTCACACTGTCCTGACACCTTAAGATTAGGTTACGTAAGTATAAAGCTTTGAAAATTTCGTATTTCCATCAAGTCGAGGGTGTAGAATTCGTCTGTGACAGCCACCGACAAATTTTTCTTTCCGCCTTGTACATCCAGCTTTATAATTAAAAAAAAAAAAAAGAGAAAAAAGGAAGAAGAACAAATAAGAATCTGCATTAGATATTTTTTACTCTTGTCAATGAATATTTAGATGAAAGTGTTGACTTTCGTGAATATTTATATAAAAATTCTTGAAGCAGAAAATCAGATTAAAGTTCCGAGTTTTTATAAATTTAAAAATTACCCATAATTTCCAACTGTTCACACAGACTCGCGATTCGGTGTATGCCATAATGTTTCTTTCAGTAATATTTACGTGCTTCGTTATTTAGAATTTCCAGATTCGCATTACATTGCTCAGATCGAAAGATTAGATATCAATCTAGTTATCTCATGTTTGTTATTAATATATCGTTCTTATCACCATTGCCAATTAATTTTAATATCAGTTATTTCAATAATCATTTATCATTACTGACCTTACTCGTGTACATATATATATATACATATATATATATATATATAAAATATTATAATATATAATTATATATATTATATATTATAAAATATTATAATATATAACATATAAATTATAAATAATATTATGTATAATATATATATAAATAAACCTTTATTAAATATTATATATAAATTATATATATTGTAATATTATAACATAATATATAAATTATAAATAATATATAATTATATATACTATATATTATAAAATATAATATAAAAATTATAATGTATAAATTGAGAATATATCAAACGAATCACGCAGTTTTAAAGTAACTTTAACGCAATTTTAGTACGTACGATAAATCGCGTGGAACAAGTTGTATTTTGAATTAATTTAGCAAAGGAAAGAAAAAAGTAAAAAAATTGTAGAGAGAAAAGAATTGAATGAGAATTATGCTTATTTTTCTACAAACTCATATTTTTCCTATATGGAAACTAGTGTAATTATTTATTACCTCAAGAAACTAGTGTAATTATTCGCTAATCATAACGCCTCATTGAATCATTGGAATGAAAAAAAATTCATGTTAACAATCTCATGTTAATACGATGCGTTATACATGATATCATCATCAGAATACACGAGTTTTCCTTTTTTCATAAACAAGAGTAGTATCGAAGTGAAAACTGATTCGACTAATGAACTTTAAACATAACAGACCAAACGACTGATTCTGATAATAAATTGCAAAGCGTAGATTAAAAGCTTTCGATATTTAAAATTTATGTAATACGCAGATACGAAACGTTCAATATCAGAATGGAAATATGTTTAAACGTGAGGAGTTAATAATTCAAAAACTTACATAAATGTTTACGATTGAATAATCAGTTGTTTATTCAGATTAACGAGCAAATACACGTCAGCAATGACCGTGCAATAAAAATTACTTTACAAATATTTTCAAAGATCATCTCATGATCAATTACTCGCGCTTTAGCTCGTAACTGAGCTGATTAATGTGACATAAGACCTGCTTCTCTTCAATGATTCGCATAGTGATACGACGAATGTGGAAGGCTTATTTTCGATTTACAGCAAGCTACGTGAGATTACAGAACTGCAGAGATGAGATATCTTTGCTTTTGAAATCGTATTGTCAAAAATAGCCGAGAAATCGCAGTGTCGCAACGACGATAACGTTCGCACTTACAATTCTTCAGTTAATTTATAAATGTGTAATTAATAAAAATTTTCGCGAAATCATTCATTGTAGATTCATGGGAAGACCAGAGACAATTTTACTTGCGACAATTACAGAGTTGTTTTATAATGTAAAAAATGTATTTCGAATCAAGAATCATTGATGGAATTTATATCTAGAATTACGTCACAAATTGGTATAGAATATTATGATAATGGACCAATAATTGACCAACATTCTTAGATACGTGTAGATTTACAAAAAAAAAGTTGCTGCAAGATTGACCTTGATCTTGAATTTCCGGATGAAATTTTCTACGCTTGCATCGTATTCCTCTAATCGCGAATCGCAAACTTGTCGAATTTGTCGTCAATTTTGCCTCTCGGAAAAAACGTCTTTAAAGTTTCATTAGCTCTTACGTGATCTTCATTAAGAACTTGTTTCCATTTCGTAATTACACATGAAGTGAGAAGCGAGTTTCTACCGACGAAACAGGATACTGTTTGACAATTAAAGTATTTAACATGAAATACCATAAACAAGAAATACAAATAGTTGAATGTCCTTAGATTTGTCGAGAANAAACTCGGTTTAGATATATAAACAGAATATTTAAAACATACCTGCAGAACCACTGCCCACTATTATGAAATCGTAAGACGGTAGTAACGATTTCGTAGGAATATTTGTCACGGCGTAACTATCAATCCAGTATTTGACGTATAGCACCACAGTCAGGAACGTCGAGAGCGTCGATATAATTATCGGTTCTGCTTTCCATCCTCCGAAAACAACGCTTTGCACATCCATTTCGCACGTCTGCGATTTTCTTTATCGATCTGCAATAATCGAATAATCTCACTTTCTTCTGAGAAAGAATAGAGAAGGCGAGTCGAAAGATTGATACGAAAATTTTGAATTTCGACGAAGAAAGACATAATCTGCTTACTGCTACTCGGTCAGTAATTAGCTAAATTCACAGGTGATACACAAATCTTTAAATCGTCCGCACTGTGATAATAATTAAAAGTAACTGTTGAAAAGAAAAAAAAAAAAAGTTAAAACACATCGAATCCGGTGAATAAAAATTCGGTTAGTTATTTTGTGTTTTTTTTTCTTTTTCTTTTTTTTCAAGAACACGTTGAACCGTTTATTGAAATTTAGACTAATTTTTTGTTTAAAAGACAGGAATAATTTCGCTTGTTTATCAAAAGATAGCGTCCTTATTCTCTGCCAAAATTCTCTGTGATTTTCGGAGCGCGTGCAGATTGAAACGATCGAGCATCGAGAAAATTTGCTCCCGCTTCGCGAATCCCGATTGGCTTTGTGATCGAGAACAAGTCGGCGATTGAACGTGCACGTGCAGTTAACTCTGCGTGCAGTGACTGACGACACACTCTGACGACCTTGTTTTTATTACAGTACAAAATGCAAGTGTAATAATGTATAACTTTTAATCCGTTGCACTGGAAAGACACGCACATCAAAAATTTTGTGTTTCAAGTTGTAACATTTTTCCTCAGTTTTAAGTATATTTAAATGTAACGTAGGCAAAGCAAATGACAAGTTTATCACTTTTTAATAATTTCTGTTCAGTGATATCGTACCGACTAGCTCAAAAGAAAAAGAAAAAGAAAGCGACGAATTATTGTATACGGTTCGGTCTCTCGTTACGGTCCGCGCACCAGTCATCAGCGCAAGGGGTTAAGCGAATATAATTTCACATGCTTCATACTTCTTCTGTCTGCCCTCTTTCCTCCTCAACTGCTCAACTATCAACTGGCCAAGAACATAAAATGTAGCCTTATATTCGCTTCATCATTAACTACATGCAATATGTATATTATTAACATAAATCTATAAGAAGTGATAACGTGATTTTCTAATGCAACACGTCAGTGTAGTTTGAAATGAAAAAATTATATTATATATTGTTACTGTTTTAAATTATATACTGTACCAGATCAGCTTCCTAAATTCCGAAATATCTTCGACAATTAACCCGGAATTACCCAGGTCTACCTGCGCTAGACCCCCAGGTGGGTAATCCCGGGTTAATCGACGATTAATTATATTAAACATTGTTCTAGAACAAACGTAGAATATTATCGATGAGGGCATTGATTGATGACATGATTATTTTGTTGACAGGTGGAAACTCGTTTCGTTTCATTTAAATGAAACGTTTCATTTAAATGAAATTATATGTAAATGTTCGATCATTTAACTATTTACTGAGGCACTATTAGACTTTCAGTTTGAGAGTGAAGGTGACAGGTCACGTGGAGTGAGAAAAAGATATAGATTTAGCGATAGAAAATCCGATCGGGAAATAAGAAGTAGTGTGAGATGCAAACGGATAACTAAAAGGGGAAAACAGACCGAAAAGACAAGAAAGAGGAAAAAATGGTTAGAATGGCGACAAGAGCAAGCAAAAACAAAGGAATGATGGAAAAATTTATGGTCGGTAGGAAGGAAGCAAGGCAGAGACGTCTGGTGGAAGTAGGATTGAAGGGGACAGGTTAAGGAAAGAAATGATAAGTGGCAAGGAGAGAATATGGGAGGATGATGGAAAAAATGATGCAAAAATATGTAGAAAAGATAGTGAAATTGAGAGTAGAGATAAAAGAGGAGAGAGACATGGAAGGAAGAAAGAGGAATGGGAGAAAGAAAGAAAACAACTAGAAAGAAGAATAAGAATCTTGGAGCAGAAAGAGAAAAGCATGAAAAGGGAAAGCAGGAAAAGAAATATAACGATAATGGGAGGGAAATGGGTGGAAGGGGGAAAGAAACAACGAAGGAGGTAAAAGATTTTATAAAGGAAAATTTAAAGGCGTAGGAATAGAATGGAAGATAGAAGATAAGAGAGTGGGAAAAATAGTGGTGGCTGAGAAATAGTAAAGCTGACAGACTGGAAAGAGAAAAGTGAGGTAATGAACAGAAAGAAAGAATCTAAAAACCGAAGTTCACATGGAGGATGATGTGACGAAAAAGGAAAGGGAAATACAAAGCAGGCTAAGACAGATTGTGAGAGAGAATAGGATAGAGGGAAGAAAGGCGATAGCTAGATATATGAAAATATGTGGAACAAAAAAATGGTACAAATGGAACGAATTGGAGGAATGGCTGGAAGGGGAAGAAATGGCAAGGAAGAACTGAGATGAGGCAGGGTGTTGTGTGCTGTTCTGGAATGTGAGAAAGACTTCTGGGAATTTATAGAGAAATTCGACTATCGTAGGACTATCTGAAACGTGGGTGGAAGAAAATGGCATGGGAAAGAATGAAGAGAAGACTACCGAAAGGAATTACACATGGGAATGCCAGTACTCACAGAGTGGAAAGATAAAAGGAGGAGCGAGTGGAGGGATTATAATGAGAGAGGAAATAGAGGAGGAAAAGAAAGAAGTGAAACGAATAAGAAATGGAGAAGAGGATAAGATTGGAAACAGACACATGGCTGATTTGGACAGTTTATTGTAAGGGAAAAATAAAAGAAATGATGGAACAAATAGATTTGAAACAGGAGGAAAAGGGAAGAATCGAAATGACGATAGGAGAGAACTTCAATGCAAGAACGGGAGAGATGGGTGAAATGTACAACGGTAAAGAGGAAAGAAGAGTAAAAGGAGCAATAGAGAGGGGGAACAGCTGATAGGGGGAGTAGAGGAGAACGGATGGTACATACTTAACAGAAACGTTAAGGGAGATGAAAAAGAAGAGTACACGTTCGTGGGCATCACGGTGATCGACTATACAATAGTAAACACGGAAGGAATAGACAAAATAGAAGAGTTCAGAGATTTAGAAAGAATAGAATCAGATCATATGCCACTATGTTTAGAGACAATTATGGGAGGAGAATGAAGATATTCGACAGTCTAGTCGTGGGAACCCTGGCCTATGGAGCAGAAGTATGGGGATGGATGGAAAAAGCGGAGAGAATACAGAGAAAATATATTAAATGGACACTTGGCCTGGACATCAGGACACCAGACTATATAATCATGGAGGGAAACGAAAAGAGAGAAACTAAAGATTAGATTGGCAAAAAGAGCGGTAGAGTATGAAAGAAGAATAGAAAGAGAAAGAATGGGAGGAATAGTCAAAGAATGCATAAAAGAAAGGAAAGCAGGAAAAGGGAACCAAGAAAGAATGAGGAAAAGACAAGATCACTTCGAAACGTGTGGTTTTAGCCAGATAGCAGTAGAACAATTGTGAAGAGAAGGGAAATCAGCTGGGAAAATACTAAGGAAAAGAGAAGCGTTAATACAAAGACAAAAGGCAGTGGAATAGAATTCAGAAGACGAGATACAATTGGAAGTATAAGTATCTGGTAACAGGAGAACTACCAAAATATGCAAGTCTGGAAGAGATACTGAGTGAAAAAGGTGGGAAAGAAGCGGTAAAATGACTTAGGCGAATAGAAAGGAGAAAGAAAGAGAAAGAGAGACAGGGAGAAGAGAAAGAAGAGTTAATGCAAGAAGTCCAGAAAGAAGAGAGCAACAAAATAAACATGAAATAAAATGAAAGAATTAGGTTAAGATACTTAAGTAGACAAAAGAATAGCATAGTTAAGATAAATAAAAGTATAGGATAAAGCAAAATAGGAGAAAATAACAGAAATATTACACGTAAAATTTAGGATAAATGCAATGTGAAATGTGCAATGTTAAGAGAAAGCAATATAAAAACCAAAGTCAATTTCAAGGCCAAAAAGGCTGAAATAAATATATACATACATACTATTAGTTCAGGAAATACTTTCATTCATGTTATTTGGAACGATGTTCGTAAAACGTCACATTTGTATAATTATTTCAAATTAAATTATTTCAATTTTCAAATTATCTCAAATTAAGTTATATCAGTTCTCAAATTATTTCAAATTAAATTATTTCTATTGAATTATTTCAATTTATTTCAATTATTTCATTATTTGATTCAAAGGAACGATGAAATTTAAGATAAGATGGGCACACTTTTCACGTAATTAACACAGGTTTGTTTAAAATGACAATTGAAACGAAATTCCCAATAATTTGCAAAAGCACAGCAATCGGACAGACTTCTTCTTTACCGGTTATAATTATAATTATAAAGATAAACTCTGCAGTATCCTTGTAACTCAAAAATCGCATCTTTTTTTGTTTCTTTTCTTCTTCTTTTTCTATTGTGTCACTTTTATCGCGAGCACGCACATGTGAACGACAGAGAATTGCGCATCTAAGCGTACGAGAGAACACTGATGACACAACACGATTTTACGACCATTTTCTTGCACCGACGTAGTTACTAGGATTCAAATAGATAATAACGTTTATGCATGTGTGCCTCTGTTATTTGTGCTACGCGTGCATCTGAAGTAACAACTAAAAATACCTCACGAAAAACACATCTGTCATCTATTATTATTAAATATTCAAACTGTTTGTAGTTTTCCAAAAAAAAAAAAAAAAAAAAAAAAAAAATATCGTGAAACAATAAACCTGGGCTTGTTTCAATGCTTGCCTCCTCTGTTCAAAGAATCTTGCGTCGCTTATTTTGTTTTAACAATGTCTTCACATCGCGCAGCTGGTGGGTGGAACGAAGATACTTTTCTTCTCGAAAGTGCTGCGAATTGTCGTAGCAGGCAGAAACATTGAAAAATTTTTTTCCACGACTGAACCCACGATGTGTTTGAAGATCGAAGCCTCCGTTTTACAACGACTCCTGAAAACTTACTGTACGATTTGTTTTTCGCCAATTTATCGAACTTCGAATATCAGGTGAAAATAATCTGTTGAATTGTCTAAGCCCGATGTTCAAAGTTCAGTGGAATGGCGATGGACAAATCACACGTCAAATGTTCGGGAGTCGTTGTAAAGTAGAGGCTTCGATCTTCCAACTCACTGTAGATTCAGCCATGGAAACAAATTCTCAATGTTTATACGGCGATATACATTTCTGAGAGTAAAAGTATCTTTACTTACCCGTTCATCACGCCACGTGAAAGAACACTTTGGGACAACACGCTTTGAAAGCAACAGCCCTGAAACTTCAGAATGAGACCAGATTTATTACACCGCGATTTTCTCTTCTACAAAACCACGATAGTTTAAATATTTAGCGTTCGAGTATTAATGAGAGTCACTTTTGTGTGCAAAACAGCACACGAGTGATGTATCATTTTTGAATAAAATGTCGCGGCATCGGAAATCATCACTCTACTTAACTAACACTCGACGCGAAATCTTATCGATATATGATTTACGAAACTTTTCATTTTATATCTTTCCAATAGGGATAACCTTAAAATGATCGATAACGTGCATCGTGCGTTTATAACGTTACAGTGAATAATTTACTTCCCGTGTTTGATCCGATCTTTATTTCTATTTGAACACAGTGTGATCTCGTTCACTTTCTTTTCTATTCATAATATGTAATTTATCGTTGAGCAGGCACATGGAAATACGTTTCTACAATTGTCAAGTATTACCTCGTAATTTTCCAGTCGAATGAGAATTATAGACTGTTGCTAGATGCAATTAACCAGCATTTTATTCGATTCATTCGCCAATGAAAAAACTTCATTAAATTTGAAGTAAACAATTTCAACTAGTTTAAAATCTTGTTTTCTTATGACATGATCTGACAGTCTTAAGTATAACATACACACGTGCTATATTTGATAAATCAGTATCAGAGAGAAAAGCGTCGATTAATGGAATTTTTAGATAAACAGAACGACCATTCTGATATTAAATGCCAGACATTGAAGTGAAACTTTCAACATCTAAAATCTACGTAATATATCAGTATAAGTATTTAAATACATGAAAATACTGTATTTAAAAAACATAAGGAGGATAATCAGTATATTCAAGAATCCTTCATTTGTATAGATGTTCGTAGTTAATTAATTAATTATTTATTTAAATTTATAGATTATCCAGCAAATATGCGTCATCGGTGACGAATATGAAGCAAAAAGTTGATGAAAAATTCACTCCTAGTTAATTACTCGTACTGCGCCTCTGTAATCGAATCGAATAACAAAATAACAGCCTCAAGTAATTGTCAAATTACAATAATGCACAGACTAGACATTTGTTCGTCGATTTTTTGTTAATAACAATTCGCGCTAAGACACGAGATTGCAAGGAGGAAGTATACTTGTTTGTAAAATTATATTGGTGCAAGTTCTCGAGAAATCACAATATCACAACGACATTCATCTTCGTACCTTCAATCTTTAATTAATAAAAATTTGCGTGAAGTCGTTCGTGTGGATTCATAGGAAGACCAGAGACAATTTTGCTTGCGGCAATTACAAAGCTGTTTTATAATTTAAAAATGTATTTCGAATCAAGAATCATCGATCGAATATATAAACTGGTGATTAATTGACCACCATTCTCTTACGTGTAGATTTGCGAAAAAAAATTGCCGCAAGATTGACCTTGATCTTGAATTTCCGGATGAAATTTTCTACGCCCGCATCGTATTTCTCTGGTCGCGAATCGCAAACTTGTCGAATTTGTCGTCAATTTTTCCTCTTGAAAAAACGTCTATAAAGTTTCATTAGCTCTTACGTAATCTTCATGAAGAACTTGTTTCCATTTCGTAATTACACATGAAGTGAGAAGCGAGTTTCTACCGACAAAAAAGGATACTGTTGTTTGACAATTAAAGTATTTAACATGAAATACCATAAACAAGAAATACAAATAGTTGAATGTCCTTAGATTTGTCGAGAANAATTTAAATTAATAATGGAAGTCCATTAGATTTTCTACATCAATGACCGCATCATGCAAATTTATTAACTATGCAACACTGTATGATGCGACAATCAGAGGTTTTTTTCTAGACACTTACTACGTTTCAATAGTACTTCTATTAGAAATATTACCTTTTATCTACACGGTGTCCCGCGTAAAATCAACTACCCACAACCACAATTGTTGGCAAGGATTACGGAAAGATAGATAACACAAATCCAACGTTAGCTCGGCTTTTCTATTCAGTTATGAAAAAATTAGAAGAAATAATATTTACATGGTTCCGTAGACGAAGATTAATCTTGTTGTATGGTTGTATGTGAATCATCCTACAGACACTGAAGCTATTATGTTATCGGCTAATTGGCCGCCGATAAGGATGACTACTACAGCAAAAAAGATTGGTTAACAACTATACAGGCAGAATTCAGTGTATTGTACTGGAAGTTTTTTACTGACATCTTTGTAACTGATAAATGTATGAAACTACAATTTTATATTTAGGGTTCGCCCTCCTTCTCATCTGTCCGTACAAAATTTCACGTCCATCGAAACTTAAGTATAAATGTACCGCGTCTGGCTATAGGAACGATTTCGCTTGTCCTCGAATTTTTTGAAGTAAGTTAAACTCGGCGCATTTTTCTTTCTGTCGCAAAATGGTCCTACCTTTTTGAGAGGAAGCGGACGTGTTTGCTACGCACTTTGAGAATTTTTTGTCCCAAAATTGCAATATTTTCTTCAGTTTTCAGTATATTTAAGTATGAACGCAATTGAATTTATTACTTCTCAGTAATTTCTATCCGGTGATATCGTATACGACGATAGTTCAAATGAAAAAGAAAACGACGAATTATTGTACACGGTTCGGTCACTCGTTACGGTCCGCAGTCAGTTGCCACAGCGCAAGTGGTTGAAGATTTCGGAGCGAATGGCTGCCGTCGTGACGTTTTGCACCTTGTTCTAATAATTATCGTTCAGTTGATTGGGAATTAATTCGAAATTAACTGCAGGATAAATACAGATATATGCAAATTGTACACGATTGTACATAAATAACATTAATATCACCAACAAATTGATGTCAATTGTCGTTGAGTTCCACAAAAGGTAATATACTCTCCTTTCTCTTCCTCTTTCATTCATAATTAGCGAAGCATTATTCATTCAGCAACTTTCAGAAACCTGTGACCTGCTTACTTGTCTGAATAAGCAATTGAACTTATTATACATTAACGTCAGCCGTGAAGATTCACTGCTAAAAGAGTCACGATTTAAAAATGTGACAATTTATTTTTTCACCTCGGTCTCACTTTACACACACGATAAATTCTCGCACAATTCATACTTGCACTCTTGTCTCTCTTTCCTCGCGCGTTTCATTCATACGCGAGACGTTTAGCAGTTAGAGGTGAAAGTAAATCGAAGCAAAACACAGGAGACAAATAACGCTCAATTATTATTAAAATGATAATAATTTATAATATGTAAAATTGTGTATTGACTTGTATTAAGAATTTCTCCACTTCGTCACCAACTGTATAGTCAAGATCACCAAGTTGTTAGACAAGTACTGCAAAATTGATCTTGACCTTGACTTTCAATTATCGTTTCTCTTGGAGAATTTAAAGTTCTTAAAATTCTTAAAGATTAGCTCATGCATGGTTTCTTTGTTAGGACAGTGTTCTTATTTTGCAATTAAACATATAGTAAATGGCTCACTTTTAACAATGAAACAGGAAATTAAGAATTCTTCAACAAATTGAAATATCTGACGTGAAACATGATTTATAAATAGGATAATATTGTTTTTCAAGTCTGTGTAAATTATATCATTTCTATAACCGAAGTGTGTTATTAAGAATGGAAAAAACAATATTTCATAAAATTTCATTGTCATTTTGACGACGAAATTGTGCAATTGTGGTTCATTTTAACCAACGAAGAAAAATCAATTGAAATTAATTAGGATAACGGAGATACTTACAATACAAACAGTATTATACATAAAAAGTGTTGGGAAATTTGTAGAGGAACGAGAGACGAGGCTATCTTTATCGTCGCTATCTTTTCGTCTCTTCCTTCGAAGAAACGAATTTTATTCTTTTTTTCCAAAAACATACGAAGACAATCCTCAGAAGCAACACTTGACTGTTGATATTCTCGTTCAGAAAATGTCCAGAGATACTTACGATTTTTATTTTTGAAATACATCTCCATCACTGTGCCAGTAATCGTTCTTTTATCTCCTCTATTGAAAAATGCATCAGTCTGCCTTTTAAGCTAAACTATTAATAATCGCCACAAAATAATTCAATAAAATGAGACGTACACTTATCGTCGACCTCTCCTTCTCAGCCAAAACTTTTTGATCATATCCGAACCCTTCTCTCCGATCATAATAACCGCCGCGTTCGTGTTACCGCTGACTATATTTGGCATAATAGACGCATCGATAACTCGAAGTCCTTTCACTCCGTAAACTCGAAGCTGAGGATCCACCACGGCCTCTGGATCCGAGGAAGGTCCCATCTTGCAAGTACCAGACGGATGATAGATAGTCGCCGTGTAATGTCTAATAACGCACTCCCAGTATTCGTCAGTCAATACTGGAATATTCTCACAACCAGGAAACGGTTTCGGATTGATTCTGCTTCCGTAACGCTTCAGCGAGGCAGTTTTGCTCAATTCGACGACAAATTTGATCCCTTCGACCAGTGTCGCTACGTCGAGCGGATGATCCAAGTAATTTGGATATATCAACGGATAATCAAAGGGATCATCACTTCGAAGCTTGATAACACCCCTACTTTTTGGTCTTAAAAGCATGTGATACGCGGACCACGTGCTGACCTTGTCCAACTCACTAAACATCGCCTCATAGCATTCTTTTGTTACTCCTTGAATTTTCCTTATATTTCTACCACCGTCAGAGCTCAGTGACGCCGCGGTGAGATGTAGTCCTATGTCCGGGAAATCATCAGATGCATTCGCGTATTTGGTGTTGATGAAAGCCAGAGTTTCCACAGCTGCGAGCGTAGTCAGTGGACCATTTCCGAATAGAAAGTACTTCAAAATTGCAAGAAAGTTGTTATACTTCCTCTCACTGTATGAAATATCTTCGTTCAGTATGAACGTTAGCCCTGCGACGCCTATATGATCTTGAAGATTGTGGCCCACTTTCAAGTCCTGGATCACTGGTATCCCGTGTTGCGACAAGTGTTCTCTAGGTCCGACTCCGGACAGCATCAGCAGCTGAGGGCTGTTCACAGCGCCCGCCGACACGATCACCTCCTTCTTCGCGAGAACGCGCAACTTTTTCCCGTTTCTGACAAACTCTACGCCGTAGGCTCTCTTCGACGACGGATCTATCAATATTTTTGTAACGTGCGCCTCCAAGGCGACGTGTAGATTCTTGCGCGACTTGGCTGGTCGTAGGAAGGCCTTGGCCGTCGAACACCGACTGCCGTGTCTAATGGTTCCCTGAGGGACCATGAAACCTGTTTGGTGTTCTCCGTTGATGTTTCTAGCCTCGTAACCCATCTCTTGGCCACTTTTCACGAACGCATTGGCCAGAGGTGTTTGGAACGGCGATTCTTGGACGGTTAGATATCCACCGGTCGAATGGTACCTCGTCTCGGTGTAGGAACGATTTCGATTGTCCTCGGATTTTTTGAAGTAAGGCAGAACATCCTCGTAAGACCAGCCTGGGTTGCCCAATTTCTCCCAAGTGTCGTAGTCTCTCTTGTTACCGCGGACGTAGAGCATGTAGTTCAGCACGCTGCTACCACCGAGAACTTTGCCGCGTGGCCAGTTGCTGCGGCCATTTTGCAAGCCTGTAACGTTTGATGATTTTGATAATTGTCCATTAGCGAATATATTGAAAAATATAAAATAACAATGGATGAGAGTGAGCATCACAAGTTACACAAGATGTTTATAGCTCTTAATCTTTTGCTGTTCGATGTCTATAATTTGTAGAAAAAATATTAACGATACAGATCTCGTAATGTTCAGTGGACGAGAGAAATATCTGCATAATGTCCAAGTTTTACTTTTTTAATGATACATATAGAGATTTAAAACCTACAGTCTAATTTCTTCATAACTACATATTAGTTGATATTGGTCTTCAGTTGAGTAGGAAGAATGTCGTGTTTTCCAAGAGTCCGGAGAAAAGAGGGATTATAAAGTCACAGTAAGGCAGGTAGTGCTAATCTAGGTAAGGCGATTTAAACGAGAAAGAGCGGAGAAGAGTTGGGAACGAGAAGTCGAAAAAGAATGTGGGGCCAAATATAAAGAAGACGAGGATATTCAAGAGGAGAAAATTGAGGTTAGAAAAAAAGGAGTAGAAAGATATGGCGACAAGAGCGACATCTAGTAGGACGATGGAGAAATTTGTACAGTCTAAGTATAGGCAGAAAGGAGAAACATCATGTGAGAGCGAAGACGAAAGGGAATCGGTAAAGAAGGAAATAACGAATGATTTGGAAGGAGGACTGAAAAAAATGATTCAAGAATTCTTAAGAGAAATAGAGAAGCTGAAAAAGGAAATGAGCGAAGAAAGGAAAATATGGAGAGATGAATGGGACAGAGGAAGAAAGGAGGATAGGAAAGAGAGGGAAGAATGGAAAATGGGAAGAATGCAGCTGGAGAGTAGAATAAACGAGCTGAAGGAGAGAGAGGAAACGAGAGAGAGAGAGAAAGTAGAAGAATTAACATAGTGATAAAAGGGGCAAAATGGAAAGAGGCAGGAGCGCAGGAAGTAAAGGAATTTCTGAAAGAAAACTTGAAATTAGATGTAGAAGTTGAAGAATCATGGAAAGTAAGAAAGGACAAAGGGGTGGGAACGGTAGTGGTGAAATTAAAAGAGCGAATGAGCAAAAAGCAAATAATGACCAGGAAGAAAAACTTGAAAACAGGAATATACATAGATGATGACCTAACACGAAAAGAAAGAGAAATACAAGGAAAATTAAGGAAACTGGCAGGTGAGAAAAGAAGAGAAGGAAAAAAGACTACAGTAGGATATAAGAAAATAGTAATAGACAAAAAATGGTATATTTGGAATGAAAGAAAAGAAACCCTAGAAGAAGTAATTGAGAAGGACAAGTACTGACGGAGAGAAGAGGAAAAAGAGGAAGTCGGAGTTCTATTCTGGAACGTGGCTGGCGTGGAGAAAAAAGAAGCAAATTTCTGGGAGTACATTGAAAGTTTCGACTACGTAGGATTAACGGGAACATGGATGGAAGAAAAAAAATGGAATAATTGGAGGAACAGATTACCTAGAGAATATAGATGGGAGTACCAACCGGGGCAGAAAGAAAAGAGAAAAGGAAGGGCAAGCGGAGGAATACTAGTAGGGAAGAGAGCTAATTAGGGGAAGTCAAGAAGTGTACCATGTAAAAGGAGCAATAGGAACGAAAATAACAATGGAGAATGACACATGGATTGTCTGGACGATTTATAATCAAGAGAAACTAGCAGAATTGATAAAACAAACAGAAATAATACAAGAAGGAGAGAGAAACACAAAAATGTTGTTAGGAGAGGACCTGAATGCAAGAACTGGGGAGAAAGGAGGAATCTATGAGAGTGAACATAAGAAAAGAAGCTCAAAGGACAAGGTATGCGACAGAGAAGGGAAGGTACTACTGGAGGGGTTGAAAACAATGGCTGGCATATACTAAATGGAAACGTGGAAGGGGATGAGAAGGGGGAATATACGTTCATACGTAGCACTGGTCAGTCGGTGATAGATTACGCAATAGTAGATGCTGAAGGTTTGGATAAAGGAAGAGAATTTATTGTGGAAGAGAGAGTAGAGTCGGATCATATGCCGATATACTGCAAACTGGCATACAAGGGTCCAAGGGGAGGAAGAAGATCAACAAAGGAAACAAGATGGATGGTAAAATGGAATGAAGAGAGCATAAAGAGATACGAGGAAGTGACAAGGAAGAAAGTATATAAAGAGACGTCCATGGAAGGTAGATGGAAAGAAATAAAGAGAACGATAGAGGAGGGCGTGACCAAAGTAAAGAGAAAGGAAGGAGAGATCTTGAAAAACAAAAGCTGGTGGGATAAAGAATGTGGCAGGAAGAAGAGGGAAGTCAGAAAGTTACTCAAGAAATGGAAGGAGNAGATCAGAAAAGCTAAGACAGAGAAGGAAATATGGAGATATATTAATAAAGGGAGGAAACAAAGGACACCAACAGGTGAAGGCAATCGGACTGAAGGAGTGGCGGGAACACTTTATGGAACTCCTAAACGGTACAGACAGAAAGGGAGAAAACAAGTGGAAGAAGGTAGTAGAAAACAATGAAGGAACACCCGTACAGGACATAACAAGGGAGGAGATAGAAAAACAGATAAGGAAGTTGAACAAAGGAAAAGCGCCGGGAGAGGATAACATCCAAAACGAGGCATGGATACATATGCAAGGGGAGACAAAGGAAAAAATATACGTACTAATTGGAAACGTCTGGAAAGGAGAAAAAAAAAGCCGGAAGACTGGAGGACTAGTCTAATCTCCCCACTGTTCAAAAAGGGAGAAAGAGACGCGGCAGGGAGTTACAGAGGAATATCACTACTCAGCACGGCATATAAGATTTACGCAACGATACTGAACAATAGAATCAAAACTGAAGTGGAAGAGAAAAGGATATTACCGGACACGCAGGCGGGCTTTAGAGAAGGAAGAAGAACAATATCTATATACTCCAACACGTAGTAGAAAAGACAATAGAAAGGAAAGGGGGAAAATTATTCGCGTTCTTCATAGACTTAAAGGCAGCATTTGACAGGGTGGAAAGAAGCAAACTATGAAGAAGGCGGGCATATTGGAGGGACTAGTTGAAAGGACGCAAGAAATCTACACAGAAACCAAAAGTAAGGTGAGAATAAAAGAGGAAACATCTGAAGAATTTTGGACCCAAGAGGGAGTAAGGCAAGGATGCCCACTGAGTCCCAATCCCGCCTTGTTCACAATCCTAATTGCGGACATGGAGGAGAAGATGAGAAAGGGGCAAGTAGGTGGTGTGGTGGTGGGCAAAAAGAAGTTCTGGACACTAGCCTATGCAGATGACATCGTCTTGCTAGCGTACAAGGGGAAAGAGATGAAGGAGATAATGAAAAGAGTAGAAAAGTATCTGGACAAGAAGAAGTTGCAACTGAACTGAGGAAAAGTCAAAGATAATGGTGTTTAGGAGAGGAGGGAGGAAGAGAAGGAAAACGGAGAGTGGAGCTGGAAAGGAAAGCCGATTGAGGAAGTGAGAGAGTTTACGTACCTAGGCTATGTGCTATGTGAAAAGCAACGGTAAGAGCAGCGAGCATATAAGACATCTCGCAAAAAAGGCGAATGTGACGATGAGGAATAGGGGAATAGGGGAGAGAATTTTCAAGGATGACTTCAGAAGGAGAATGAAAATTTTTGACAGCCTGGTCACAGGAGTGATGGTGTATGGGGTAGAAGTCTGGGGATGAAAAGAGATCGGAGAACTCGAAAGAATACACAAAAAGTACATAAAATGGACGCTAGGACTAGGACAGAGGAACACCTGATTATATAGTATGGGAGGAAGCGAACAGAACGAAAATGAAAGTAATGCAGGCAAAGAGAGCGATGGAGTGTGAAAGAAAAATTGAGAGGGATAGAGAAGAAAGCATTGTCAGGGAGTGTTTGAACGAAAGAAAAGCAGGGAAGGGGATCAAGTAGAACCTTAAAAGACAAGCTGGACCATTTTCAAAAATGCGGCTTCAGCCAGGAAGGCGTAGATTTATTATGGAGAGAAGGGAAAAAGGCAGGCGAAGTTCTACGAAACAGAGAGATAGACGTGGAGAAACAAATGCACTGGACCAGAATTAGGAAAACCAAATACAATAGAAGATATAGATACCTGACACCCGGAACTTTGCCAAAATATTTAAGAGAGAGGGGAGAAAGAACGGAGAGCAGAGAATACTGGCTAGAGCAAGATGCGGTTCTACCGAAAATGTCAACAAATTTTGGGCTAAAAGAAGCAGAGAGGGAATGTACGCTGTGTGAAGAGGAGGAAGGAAGGTTCGAGCACTGGAGACAATGCAGGGAATTGGTAGAAACCGGTCTCAGCATTGAAAGGATCCTAGCAGAAGAAGGTGCCGTGGCCTGGCTCAGAAAAATTGAGAAGGAAAAGGAGAGGAAAAGAAACAGAAAGCTAAATATAGAGACACAGATAAAGTGAAGTGCCAAACCAAAATATAGCACCAAAGAGAAATATTGTAGAGGCAGTGTGCAAATATTCGCTATTAGTCTAATTAGTCTACGTACAGTATAAGTATAGGTATAGGTTAAAGTATGCAATACTAGATGTAAGGGATTAAAACGGAAAACAACATGTAAAGAATAATGTAAGGCACTGAGGTCTATTTCTAGGCTGAAATAAAGATTCATTCATTCATTCATTCATTCATATTAGTTGATATTGCTTACCTCGACAGTAATTGTTACTGCGTTCCGTTTTGTATTGCCAGTCGATACTGGTGAATTGCAGACTGGAAACGAGGATAGGAATGTCATAAATATCTGTCGCATCGCCACCTGCTTCCAGGAGGAGTACGTTCCAGTTATTTATCTCGGACAAGCGATTCGCTATCACAGCCCCTGTAACATAAATTCTTTCATTAGAATAGATAAGTTTCTACTATCTGTCAAATTTTGATGCAACGTAATTTATTTATCGAAATTTTTATTCGTGCAATATCATAATGAGGATGAGTTGTTAAATTTTTGATTTTGGAATTCAATGACAAAGATAGATCGCTGAAAACGTACCTGCAGAACCACTGCCGATAATTATGAAATCATAAGATGGCAGTAACGATTTGGAAGGAATATTCGTCACAGCGTAATTATCGATCGAATATATAACGTATAGCACCACAGGCATTAATATCGACAGAAGCGATTTAATCACTGGATGTGCTCTGAATCCTTCCAATATATTTCTCTGCACGTCCATTTTGCATCTGCTCGATTTTTTCTTTATCGATCTGTAATATGAAGATTTCGTGTATTATAAATGACCTTATGTGCGTTTCATAAAAAGGTACTCGATTGGAAATTAACCAAATTTAGAAATTTTTGATCAGCTTGTAAACCTCGCTATTTTTGATGATATTTAGATATGTGTAAATCAACAATTTCGATCAATTCTGTGACCATCGTGAAAACGAGAGGAACAATAAGCCTCTCTTACAATTAATCGAGGCATTTGCAACGGTAACCTGATTTTAACCTTGTGTTTGTAACAGGGCTGAGTTCGAAAATAATTCTTAATTTGATTTCTTGAAATCTCTCGGATCCGACACTTCGTGAAGTTTCGAAACTCTCGAAACTTGAGGTATTGATTTTATTTTGCGAGAGAAACTTTTCCTCCTCGTAACTGGAATTAACATTTTTATATAAATTTGTATTGTTCACGGTTAAATGAAACGCAGATACAGCGATAACATTTATTATTTGGGAACCATAATACGCTGAACATTACCAAGTAGCCAGAAAATTTTTTTGCCGAGTTTTGTTGATGACAGTTCGAGAAATTTTTTCTAAATTGACAACGATCTCTCAGAGAAGTGGGAAAAATTGTTCCTGCTTTATATATTATATCTGATGTTGTAAGGTAGAGAGAGTCGTTACGGAAAAATTGCAGAGAAGGCAGTGAGCATTGACAAAAAGAAAGAAAGTTTTGTTTCTTCAGAACATCACCCAGATGTCATTAAGAGGACTCTTGACAAGATAGAGAAACTCGAATAGGATTGTCTAAGAGGAGTGTCAAGATTTTTCCACAGCAAAACAAATAAAATGTTTTATAGAAAACCGATACTTCTGGGTTATTGAGAAAGTTATAAAATTTGTAGTCATTGTGAGAAAGTTATAAAATTTGTAGGTTCGTATTTTGATGACAAAATTCATGTTTCTTCGCGTTATTATGCACAGTCGTATACTCGCTATATCATTATATTTCTGTAAGAAGAAATACAGCATGTTACACTTTAAAAAAAATTCACAGTAAATCAATTGTAGAGTAGTAGGATCTGTATATTCGTGAAAATGTATACCGAGTACCAGATTTACAATCTCCAAAGAGATATCATTAATAAGAAGAACCTCGTCTTGTGAACTTCAAACGATGTTAGGTTCTTGACAAACAATTATGCATGCGTATATAAATGAGAGTTGAGCCGATTAGTTAATATGCATCTAGCTAACTTTTAGATAACTCTTATAAGAACGTTTCTCTCTAACTATACAACTGTGGAACTTTGTACAAGTTATTATTTTGCAACATGCAGTTTCAAGAATAGAATTTTGATAGAAAACCATTATTGTACTAAATTGTCACATCTTGACTTTGAATATTTTATATATCTCTGCGTATATTTTATATATGCTCAATCTCTGCAATCTTGTATTTAGAAATTTTTCATAACTGTGCCAACATCTGCGATCCAGTTGTTACTCAATTATACAGAGTGAACTTGGTGTATCAACACTAAACGTAACTATGTCCGGTCAAATAATCAGCTTCAATTTTCGTAATTTGATATATAAAATTCTGCGTTCGTTTTTACTTCTTTTGTTTATGTAACTTTATCGCAAAAAAAGGAAGATGTGTAATATTTTCTCGTATGATATACGAATTATTTCGTGCTTTATTTACTTGTAAAAATAATTCAGCGTGAAAAATCATCGACATCTACAAATTGACCAGATTTTTCAATCACTCGAGTAATAATTCGAAATAATTATTTAAAAAAGAGCTGAAATGTATCGAATCCGTTGAATGGAAATTTGGCTAATTATTTTTTTCCTTTCGTTTCGTTCTTATTCGAGAAAATCGTGCACATTGGAACTTCTACTGAGAATTTGAATAACGATCATTTCATTCGTCAAAATCTGATATTTCTTTAATAAAACAGCACTAGTTTCATTTCTATACTCACCATGCATTTAAGAGGAAACGTTATGTGTCACTTTCTATCGAACAGTCAAGTACGCGTTGAAAACAGGACTCGCCTATCACTATAATACCTTCTTCACGTCTGCATTTCTCGAAATGCAACTTTTAACTATTCATCTGACAGGAAACCAAGTTAGAAAATTTGGTTTAATCTTCTTCGCGCAGTTGCAAATGCTTAATGACTAAGAAATCGATGTGAACCCTTATATATGAAGTTCAGTTCAAGGTTTTCTACATTTTTTTCACTACCATTAATTACCCACTTACCATTGGTAATTAATTTGTAATCTGAAAGATTATTCTTCAGCATAAAAAAGCTCATGTATAATTTGTTGCAAACCTATGATAGAAATGACTAATACGTAGTTTCCACGATAATGGATCACCATACGAATATGCGCAAAAGAGAAATAATTACAAAATTATAAAAATATAAATTAATATTACTAATGTATGCATCAATATTTCTAACATCAAGAAATTTATCTGACTGTGGAAATAAACGTTAGCATGAACAATAATTAAAATTTCATTTCATTGTAAAAATATGTATTTCTTTTTCTCTTTTTTGTTTCGTTATTTAAAAGTCGCATCAACTATTTTGCTGGTTATTAGCGACTCAGCTAATCATAGTCTCTTGTATACTCTTGTTAGTTTTAGTTAGTATTGCAGAAGGTTCTTGATTGTGTTGTTGTCCATTAGGTTGTCATTCAGGCTGGATTTTATGTTGCTCTCTAGGCGTTTTTCTGCACTCCAAGATAATGTGGTCCACCGTTAGCGACACTTTGCATAGTTAGCAGGTTGGAGGTTCGTCCTTGTGGAGAAGATGTTGGGTGAGTTTTGTCCTATTATGATTCTTGAGGTGTCTTGGTAGAGTGCAGTCGTTCTTATCTATTTTTTGACGTAGTTGTAACGTGGATTTCCAGTTTTCAGTTGTCATTTGTTTTCTTTTTGAGCAGGTGTAATGTGGTTTTTTCTGGTAGGCCATTATTGTAGTAGTTGGAGTTAGGTGAGTTGTCAGTCTCCTTTGGCCAATTTGTTGGCTCTTTTGTTTCCAGCATTGCCAGTATGGGCGAGGACCCAGGTTACAGTGGCTCTGTTGTTTCTATTTGTCGATTTGATGTAAAGCTCTTGACATTCTTGGATGACTGGATCATTTGTCCACGGATTCTGGATTGATGAAATGGCGTTTATAGAGTCGCAGAAAATAGTAAAGTTCTTGTTTTGAACTGTGGATACAGCTTCACTATTTTTCATCAATTATAATTGCCAGTTCTTTACTATAAACTAATTGGTTGTGACTGAGTAAGCGTCTTTTTCAGGCTGTATGTTTGAAGATTCGGTTGGTTTCGAATCGGTGTAGTTTTTATTTCCATGGTTAGGCTTCTGTGGTCGAGGTACTCGTCGGTGTCACACTCACTATGTATCATCATTCTATTTTCAAGGCGGAGTAGCGCCATATATCATCACGCTCCCATACAACAAAGGTCACCTAGCAATCAAAACAATTGGATTGGCACTCGCGAGCGACAAAACACGTCCAATCCTTTACAATTATTTACAAAATTTACCAAAATTTAGATGGTCACATATATTACAGATTGGCTCATTGATTTGAATGATTCTTAATGATCCGTTGCAATTTCTTCCTGCACAGGATGCCCCAAATTTAAATTTCAAAATTTTAAGACCCGAACTAAAGAAACCAAGTTCGTTAGATATTTTACTCCATTTTGGAGAATGGACGAAACAAAAGAGTTCTAGCCTTTTAATTTATTTATTTACACTTATTTATTATGTATTTTTAGTCATTATCTATTTCATTGTGCATATTGTCATCTTATAATCAAATATTATTACTTGTCATCAACATATTATCATCTGTTTGATCTTTCTAATGAAGAAACTGTACAAAATACTAGCTTTTTCTAGCAATATAAGGAGTAAATTAAACACTAAGACTATAATGGGCAATATATATATATATAAGACCCAACTTCAGCTTCTACTTTTTTACTGATTTGTGCAAAAAACAAAAAAAATAATATATAAAAATGCAAAAACGAAGATTAATCATACTGGTTGTATGTGGGTCATCATATTGATATTGAGACTGATACGCTATCGGTTACTTAACTAACAAAAACCAATATATATGATTGATCACCAATATATGTATAACCACAATTTAGTCAACTGTACTGAAAGCTTTTTTATTAACAGATATTCAAACTGAACTTGAAAATTAATAAATATTCAAACTAAAATTTTATATTTAGGAACATCCCTCTCCTGCGTCTTTCTAAAAGTTCATATCAAAAAGTACCTGATGCTTCTCGGAATTACGGTAGAAAATATTTCACATAAAACAAGGATAATCATCCGCCACCTGGCCTCCTCAACCAAAACTCTTTAATCATATCGGAAGCCTTCTCTGCAATCATAATAACCGGCGCGTTCGTGTTACCGCTGACTATATTTGGCATAATAGACGCATCGATAACTCGAAGTCCTCTCACTCCGTAAACTCGAAGCTGAGGATCCACCACGGCCTCTGGATCTGAGGAAGGTCCCATCTTGCAAGTACCAGACGGATGATAGATAGTCGCCGTGTAATGTCTAATAACGCACTCCCAGTATTCGTCAGTCAATACTGGAATATTCTCACAACCAGGAAACGGTTTCGGATTGATTCTGCTTCCGTAACGCTTCAGCGAGGCAGTTTTGCTCAATTCGACGACAAATTTGATCCCTTCGACCAGTGTCGCTACGTCGAGCGGATGATTCAAGTAATTTGGATATATCAACGGATAATCAAAGGGATCGTCACTTCGAAGCTTGACAACACCCCTACTTTTCGGTCTTAAAAGCATGTGATACGCGGACCACGTGCTGACCTTGTCCAACTCACGAAACATCGCCTCATAGCATTCTTTTGTTACTCCTTGAATTTTCCTTATATTTCTACCACCGTCAGAGCTCAGTGACGCCGCGGTGAGATGTAGTCCTATGTCCGGGAAATCATCAGAAGCATTCGCGTATTTGGTGTTGATGAAAGCCAGAGTTTCCACAGCTGCGAGCGCAGTCAGTGGACCATTTCCGAATAGAAAGTACTTCAAAATTTCAAGAAAGTTGTAATGCTTCCCCTCACTGTATGATATATCTTCGTTCAGTATGAACGTTAGCCCTGCGACGCCTATATGATCTTGAAGATTGTGGCCCACTTTCAAGTCCTGGATCACTGGTATCCCGTGTTGCGACAAGTGTTCTCTAGGTCCGACTCCGGACAGCATCAGCAGCTGAGGGCTGTTCACAGCGCCCGCCGACACGATCACCTCCTTCTTCGCGAGAACGCGCAACTTTTTCCCGTTTCTGACAAACTCCACGCCGTAGGCTCTCTTCGACGACGGATCTATCAAAATTTTTGTAACGTGCGCCTCCAAGGCGACGTGTAGATTCTTGCGCCACTTGGCTGGTCGTAGGAAGGCCTTGGCCGTCGAACACCGACTGCCGCGTCTAATGGTTCCCTGAGAGACCATGAAACCTGTTTGGTGTTCTCCGTTGATGTTTCTAGCCTCGTAACCCATCTCTTGGCCACCTTTCACGAACGCATTGGCCAGAGGTGTTTGGAACGGCGGTTCTTGGACGGTTAGATATCCACCGGTCGAATGGTACCTCGTCTCGGTGTTGGAGCGATTTCGATTGTCCTCGGATTTTTTGAAGTAAGGCAGAACATCCTCGTAAGACCAGCCTGGGTTGCCCAATTTCTCCCAAGTGTCGTAGTCTCTCTTGTTACCGCGGACGTAGAGCATGTAGTTCAGCACGCTGCTGCCGCCGAGAATTTTGCCGCGTGGCCAGTTGCAGCGGCCATTTTGCAAGCCTGGAACGTTTGATGATTTTGATAATTGTCCAGTAGCGAATGTATTGAAAAATATGAGATAACAATGGATGAAAATTCGCATCAGTCTCTCAAGATGTTTGTAGCTCTTAGCTCATTTGCTGTTCGATGTCTGTAATTCGTAAAAAAAATATCTACGATGCAGGTCACGTAATGTTCAGTGGACGAGAGCAATATCTGCGTCATGTTCATGTTTTACATGTTTAATTATACGTATACAGATTTAAAACCTAGCGTAATTCTTCATAATAACATATTAGTTGATATTGTGTACCTCGACAGTAGCTGTTATTGCGTTCCGTCTTGTATTGCCAATCGATACTGCTTTTTTGCAGATTGGTAACGAGAAGAGGAATATCATAAATGTCTGTTGCATCGCCACCAGCTTCCAGAAGAAGAACATTCCAGTTATTTATCTCGGACAAGCGACTCGCTATCACAGCCCCTGTAACGTTCATTATTTCAGCCCGTTAGATTGGCACAGATGAATTTTGCTGAACGTTCGAATTTTTTATCGTAAATAATTGCAATGAATTTATATGTCTCGCGTGTCAGAGGAGATATTTTGACAATTGATTTTATTTATCAAAAGTTCAGTGTACAGTCACTAATAAATCGGAACGATATGTCAAGATAAAATGTCCAAAATATTTTCATGAATATCTAATTTATGCCAGGCTAGGATATATTCTGGGACAAAATGTTGGTTCGAAATGTTGGTTTTTTTTTTAATTCATTTAAGAAAATCATTAAAATGTAACTGAATTATCGAAATTTTTATTGGCGAGGAATAATAAAGATGTCGAATTGTTGGACGGTTTGATGGTTTGGATGCTTCGATGAAATTCATTTGCCTTAATGGTATATTAAAAACGAACCTGCAGAGCCGCTGCCAACGATTATGAAATCATATGTCGGTAGTAATGATTCAGGCGGAATATTTATCACAGCGTAACTATTAATCGAATAAATAATATTAAGCAGCACTGACACGATCGTTGAAAGCGTGGATACAACAATCGGGTTTGTCGTCATTCCTTCGAAAATATTGCGTAGCACGTCCATTTTGCAATTGTTTGGTTTTCCCTGTCAATCTGTAATAATCGAATTTATTTATTTATTTGTTCATTTGTTTATCACTCATCACCAATCTTAACCTAATTTTGACATGCACTTTGACTCAATATTCTGCATAAAAAATATAAATCGGATCCTCATCTCGAAAATCGGCAATAGAAAGTAATTAGAAACATCGATCATTAATTAAAAATAGTTTAAAGTATTTATCAGTAATTTAAAAAAAAAAGTTCGAACGTGTCGATTTCAGTGAGTTATTTCAAAATGAAATTCAGGTAATAAGTTTTTTTTTTTTTCAAGAAAATTATACACGTTGTCTGTTTCATTTGTGACAGTTTAATATTCGCTCAGATTGCAAGAAATTCTATTTCTGTGCCTACTTTGCGTTAAAGTTTCATCTTCGCGTATCGAGAACGTTATTCGTCTAATGATGCGTGTTCATTTATCAGAAATCGTACATTTATTCCAACTGTCACGTTTTTTTTTTGAATAATAATACAACTGACCGGAGAACGAGCCAACAATTTCAGATTTTTTCCACCGACAATTCCATTTAATTTACATGTTATACAACGGTTAAAATACGCACGTAAAATTAAAATATGCGTAGGTTCATAATCAATTTCTTGTGACATTATTGCTAATTGCTTCGCATTGCAGTAATTTTTTTACACGTAATAATACTTTGAATATTAAGGAAGCAGGACAGTGTGACCAGCCTAAAAACGTATAGTTTGGAGGGCTGATAAGAGAAAAATTACATATTTGATTGACTTTTTGGGCTTTTGTGGTTTAGTTTAACACACTGTGAACTATGAAAAGCAACACTGAGAACGAAAAAAAGAGCTAATTATTCTTTTTCTTTCTATTCAAGATAATCATGCACATTGGAACTTCTACTGAGAATTTGAATAACGATGTTTCATTCGTCACAATCTGATATTTCTTTATAAAGCAGCACTAGTTTCATTTCTGTACTTACAGTGCACTCGAGAGGAGAACGTTGTCTTCACTGTCTGTCGAACAGTTGAAAACAATAGGACTTGCCTATTATTATAATACCTCCTCACGTCTATTTTTTTCTCGAAATGCAACTTTTAACTATATATATCTGACTGGAAACCAAGTTAGAAGTTCAAGTTTATTCTTCACCCGGATACAGAAGCTTATTAACTAATGTTATGATTGAGCTGAGCCCGTATTTATATGGGTCATCTGTTCAATGTATTTTAGATTTTCCTCACTACCATTAGCGAGTTAATAATGTTATATATGGTAGATATAAGTAGATTGTTATTAAATATAAAAAAACATTCATGACTAATTTGCTGCAAACCTATAATAAAAATAGCGAATAAATAGTTTCACGATAATAGATCACAACAACATTATATGAGCAAAAATTAATACATAATTGCACAGTTGCAAAAATTGTTATTACTAATCTGCATCAATATTTCATACCGACGAGTTCGAAAAGAATACGGCTCGGTCACTCGTTATGGTCCGCGAACCAATTGCCAGCGCAATGTTGTGACGTGGGCCTGAAAAAAAATTACGAATACTTCGTAGAGCTGGTAAAAAAAAGTTACATATTTGATTGACATGAGCTCGCGTGATTTATTTTAACACATCGTGAACTATGAAAAGCAACATTAAAAGAGAGAAAAAGAGGGCTATTATTTAACTTTTTAACGGCATTCTTTTGCATAACTGTTTCTTACATTGCCTATCGGTGTGCATGATTCCAGCGAAATAGGATTAGCTGCAAGAAAAAGGCAAAAGAAGTTCAATAGTAAACGATATTCTCTAGGGATCGACGATCCAACATTTTCATTTCTGTGAAAATTATGAAAACGACAGCTATCTGTTTCCGGTGTGTCGAATTTGTGCCAAAAATTTCTACGTTCTTTGTTTATATTTTTCGAAATTGTTGAAAATTGAAAAATGTTCGATCGTCAATCCCTAGTAAATGTTACGCTAAAGTTACGCACCAAGTTTTACAGTAATCGGTTGGTTAGATTCCGAGATATCTTGCACACCGTTTCTTAAAAACCTAGTTTCGAGAAAAACGCGTTTAAAGTTTCAGAACGTCAATTTTCATATGTATCCTTCACTTACTTTTTTTTACTTATATACATCCGCGGCTCACAGTTCTTACAATTCACAACTAAATTGAATCCAAGTCCCTTGATATTCGATTCACCAATAGTAATATTCGAATCACACGATTTACACTTTATAATGCTGCTTAAAGTTGTAAACAGCGATTCAATTATTCTGTGTATTCCGCGAATTTATCATTATACTCCAAAATAAGTCGTTTTAATGGCCAGGACATTTTCTGTCTTGTTTCTAAGACTTCAAACTACTGTGTAAGACAAAAAAAAAAAAAAAAAAAAAAAAGAGAGAAGAGAAGAAAATCGATTTTTTGATGATTTCAAACTACCCTAACTCCTTAAATGTTGACACGTGAGCTGTCACAAAAGCATCCCGGCAGGAACGTGTGTAATAAATCATTTTCGCACGTTAAGATCTTCGTAAAAACGCTTAATTTTTTCATTAAAAACTGGTGAACACGATACTCGTGAACGACACGTGGAACGATTGATATAACTTACATGTTGATATAATGTATACTGGAGGTGCAACGTATCCTTGATTTTTGCCACTATGTTTACGTAATCACATCTCCATCTCCTTTTTATCGTCATCCATGATGTTATCCACTAGTCTTCTTTTTTCTCGATGTGTAAATAACTTACAATGGAAAATAGAGAGTGTATCAATTATGATGTTGATCTTTATTATCGATGTTTATCATCTTCGGAGTATTTAAAAAAATTTTCCAACAATCTGTTTACCTCACTTGCCACTCGGACGTTCGTTCTTTCGAAAATGATCGTATACGAAATATCGTGTACCAAGCAAGTATATTTTTTCCTTCATAATTGTAAACATTCAAGCGTGTGTAAGAAACATTAAAGAAATTTGATTATTTTTCATCACTTCATTTCGCTGTCCGTCATTTTATTTTGTTCTCCGTCATTTTATTTCTTCATCAGTACGATTATGCTTTTCTTAATATCTTGTACGCGAAACAAGGATTATTTCGATGAAGGGAAGCGTTATTTTAACTAAATAGAACGACAGATTTTTTATAATTCTCTAGATTTGTGTGATCAGAATGTATTTTGCGAATGGGAAATCAGGAACAATCTCTGCATTATATATATATAATATGTATATAATATGTATATTATATTCTATTATACATACAATTGTTATATGTCTTAATATTATTAATAATTTACGACATTTAATTATTTAAAAATTTATTGCGTACACAAAAATTTTTACCTAAAATTCTATGCATAAAAGTCTTTACATAAAAATCTACAGTCTTGTCATTACTTTAGCGTCTTAATTGTTGTACACATATATGTATATACTATTCGAAAAATTTGGTGTAACTTCATACCACCGTTAACGGAGTTGGGTTGTAATTCGTTTTGGGAGCATCACTTTTTCTTCAAAACTTTTTTTTGTAAACTTCTGATGGAAGAAAATATTTGACGAGGAAACGAAATACATTGATTTTGAGTATAAGTCTGAGTATAAATTTACTCAAAATTGCTTATAGCGTGCTGTGTAATCTAGTAACAAATAGAATTCGCGAATTTTTTTTCATATATTTAATATTTATATTTATTTTAATTAATTATAATATTATAAATTAATAATATTATATTATAATATTAATTAAATATATTTATATTATAAATGTTATATTTTAATATTAATTAAATATATTTATAACATTATAAATATTATATTTTAATATTAATTAAATATATTTATAACATTATAAATATTATATTTTAATATTAATTAAATATAATATTTATAATATTATAATATAATATTTATATTTATATTTATTTTAATTAATATATATATATATAATGAAAAATGAATATATATATATATATATTAATTATAATGAGAAATGAATATTAATTAATTAAAATAAATATAAATATTAAATATAATGGAAAAAAATTGGAAGTTTTTTTACTTAGTAATTATCTATGAAAAAAGTTCGTAAATTTTATCCATGTATATTTACGACTTTCAGCCTTCACATTTCAATTTTTTTCTAAATCGAAATGTTGCAGAATTCAATTTTCACGGATTTTCAAAATTAGTTTAGTAACCAGTGCAGCTGGCTGCAATTATCTCGCGAACGTTCAACGGAAAATTTCTATTTTCCTTCCCTGTCGCAAAATACGAAGCGAGCGCCCTCAAAAAACGAATTTTTCACCCACGCTTATGCTACGCGCTTAATCTAATCGCGGCTTTAAAGTCAACCCATTGGCGCGCGTACATCATCCTCGCAGGCTGCTTTCAGACGTCGTCTCGCAAAAAAAAATCCATTCACCGAATTAACAGAAATAGTCGCAGTAATAAACGCCTTTTTAAATTGAATTTTAAATACGAGGATATGATCATTTCAACAAATTTGTTTTTATTTTCGTTTGACACCATCCTTCGCGTCAGTGTGTTAATAAAATTTGTAAAGAATTCCTTCGACTTTCTACGATATCGCGTTAATTATTAACTAAATTAATAAATCACGCTTTGTTTTCTGGAGATGAAAAAAGAAAAAAGAATTTTTGCTGGAGCAAATCCAATTTTTTGCTTCCGTTTGTTTAAGTAAACGAACAGCTTAACGTAGTGCTTCACTATGCTGCGAAATTTTATAATGGAGAAGAGTGTATTCCACGAGAAGTGTGAATTACGCTACTTACGGAGAAATAGTTGAAAGCACAAAATCGAAATCTCACAGTACGAGATTTTGGTTCATTCCTTATCCTAACGTTCGCTTACTAAAAACACGACACAATATTCCGACATGTTCGTGAAAATTACATATATAGGGTTCGCATAATCGATAATGCCATTACTGTGTATCACACAGGTGAAATTTTTATCAGAAAGTTATATACGACATGCATATAACATGTAGAACACCGCGTACTTTGAATTTACATTGTACTTATTATCATGAAGAGCATCTTTTTTTTCGTTGTGATTCCAACGTTAATGGAACGTGCAAATATTCGAGCAGAATTAAATTTACAATATCCGATATTCCTTCGAGTGTTAATTGAATGTTACGTATTGTGTTTTCAATTTTTTGTGAGAATTATTGTAAAAAGTAACTTCAAATTTAAAACATTATATATTTCAAATGTAAAAGAATAATTTTAAATTTCGTTTTACAGCGAAAAATAGATACTTATAGCGTTTTTAGTCGCACCATGCGTTCCTTCATTCATTGTAGACGAATTATGTATATATATATATATATATATATATATATACACACACATTATATATAGTTATATATTATATATGTATATTTATTTATATATGTATATGTATATATATACAATATATATAATTATGTATATATACATTATAGTATTATATATATACATACACACATACATCTAATATTTTTAAAAAGTAAATACTAACATTTAACGTTTAATATTAGAGCTACCTATAAAGTGGTCAAAGTGACCAATTTATAATTTTCTATGGAAATTTTATATATTTGTACCAACGTATTTTTAGATATTCGAGTGATTTTTAATGAAATACACAAGTTTGTATTCTTTATCATATTATATATATATATAATTTTCAAAAAGTAAATACTAATATTTAACGTTTAATATTAGAGCTACCTATAAAGTGGTCAAAGTGACCAATTTATAATTTTCTATGGAAATTTTATATATTTGTACCAACGTATTTTTAGATATTCGAGTGATTTTTAATGAAATACACAAGTTTGTATTATTTATCGTATTATATATATATATATATATATATATATATATAATTTTCAAAAAATAAATACTAACATTTAACGTTTAATATTAGAACTACTAATTTATAATTTTCTATGGAAATTTTATATATTCATAACAATGTATTTTTAGATATTCGAGTGATTAATGAAATACAGAAGTTTGTGTTCTTTATCGTATTATATATATATAATTATATATAATTTCTATAATATTATAATCTCAAATATATTATATTTTATATAATTATAAATTATATAATAATTATATAATTATATTTTATATTTTGTAAATTACATAATCCCTTCGAATAATATATTACATTTTCCTCCTCTCTGTATTTTATTTTAATTGCCACAAATATTATATTTTAATCGTCGGTAAAGCTCTATTGTATCAATATTTTCACCAACAGGCTCGAATCCTCACATACACAAGCATTAAAAAAAAAGAAAAAATCGTAAACAATCGTATCTAATCCGTATCGATCAACAATTATCACTTCAAGAACAGTTAACGCTCATCCCCGGCCTCTCCTCTTCAGCCAGAACTCCTTGATCATGTCCGAAGCCTTCTCACCGATCATAATAACCGGCGCGTTCGTGTTACCGCTGACTAAATTTGGCATGATAGACGCATCGACCACTCGAAGTCCACCGATCCCGTAGACTCTCAGCTGAGGATCGACCACTGCCTCTGGGTCCCAGTAGGGGCCCATCTTGCATGTGCCCACCGGATGATAAATAGTCGCCGAATAATGCCTGATCATGCACTCCCAGTAAGGATCGCTGTACATCGTTAAGTGCTTGCAACCGGGGAACTGCTTCGAGTTCAGCTCGCTGCCGAATCGCCTGAACGACCTGGTTCTGCTCATAGCGATCGCTATTTTCACCCCTTCGACCAGCGTTGCTATGTCCTCCGGCTGCTCGAAGTAGTTCGGATAGATCAGCGGATGATCGAACGGGTTGTTGCTGCGTAGCTTGATCACGCCTTTGCTCCTCGGCCGGAGGAGCATCGGTATCACGCTCCACACGTCCTTGTCGTTGATCGGCCTGAACACCGCGTCGTAGAACCTCTTCGACAGCCCGTGGATCTTCCTGATGTGCCTGCCGCCGTCCGAGTTGGTCGAGCCGGATATAAAGTGCAGCTCGATGTCCGGGAAGTCGTCCGAGGCGTTCACGTACTTGGTGTTGACGAAGCCAAGCCCCTCGACGCCGCCCAAAACTGTCAACGGCCCGTCGCCGAAGATCGCGTACTGCATCACCGCGTGAACGCTGTGCAGCCTCTTCTCCACCATCGACACCTTTCTGTTCACCATGAACGTCAGGCCACCCAGGCCGACGTGGTCCTGCAGATTCTGGCCAACTCTCAGGTCCTGGATCACCGGTATCCCGTGTCCCAGCAAGTGCTCCCTAGGTCCGATTCCGGACAGCATCAACAGCTGGGGGCTGTTGATCGCTCCACTCGAGACGATCACCTCCTTCCTCGCCCGGATCCGGATCACCTTCGAATCCCTGACGAACTCCACTCCGTACGTTCTCTTCGACTTTGGGTCGATCAGGATCTTGGTGACGTGCGCGTGCATGGCCACGTGCAGGTTCTTGCGCAGCCTGGCAGGCCTGAGGAACGCCTTCGCCGTGGAGCAACGACTGCCGCGTCTGATGGTGCCCTGAGCGATCATGAAACCGGTTTGCTGCTCTCCGTTGATGTCTCTGTTCTCGTAGCCCATCTCCTGGCCAGCTTGAACGAACGCCGCGGCCAATGGAGTGTGCCACGGTGCCTCTTGAACGGTGAGGTAGCCACCGGTGGAATGATAGGGCGTTCGTGCTAGGTAAGGGTTTTGGTTGTCCTCGGATTTTTTGAAGTAGGGCAGGATGTCTTGGTACGACCAGCCGGGGTTGCCTAGCTGCTCCCAAGCATCGTAGTCCTTCTTGTTGCCGCGGAGGTAGAGCATGTAGTTGAGCACGCTGCTGCCGCCGATCACTTTCCCACGTGGCCAGTTGCAGCGGCCTTCGTTCATTGCTGGAAAGTGGAATTGGAGTGTGAGTAAAGGAGGAGTCGAGGAAACTACGAGTAATTGAGCAGAACGCCGCCAGATGTCTAATTACGGACAGTCGAAACCACTAGTTAGGTTAAATGACACGGAATATAAGTATGGGTGAAATAGACGCTGGTCAGGCAGTTCAGTTTTGCTTCAATGTTGTTTAAGTGTTGTTTCGGTATTGTTTCAGTGTTGTTTTAGTTATAGTTTCAGTTATAGTTTCTTATAGTTTCAGTTACAGTTTGTTATAGTTTTAGTTACAGTTTGTTATAGGTTCAGTTATAATTTCAGTTATAGTTTCAGTTATAGTTTCAGTTATAGTTTCAGTTATAGTTTCAGTTACAGTTTCAGTTATAGTTATAGTTACAGTTTGTTATAGTTTCAGTTATAGTTTCAATTACTGTTACAGTCTGTTATAGTTACAGTTACAGTTTGTTATAGTTTGTTATAGTTTGTTACAGTTTGTTATAGTTTCAGTTACAGTTTGTTATAGGTTCAGTTATAGTTTCAGTTATAGTTCCAGTATAGTTTCAGTTATAGTTCCAGTATGGTTTCAGTTATATTTTCAGATATAATTTCAGTTATAGTTTCAGTTATAGTTTCAGTTATAGTTCCAGTATAGTTTCAGTTATAGTATCAGTTATAGTTTCAGTTACAGTTAAAGTTACAGTTTGTTATTGTTTCAGTCACAGTTTTTTATAGGTTCAGTTATAGTTTCAGTTATAGTTCCAGTATAGTTTCAGTTATCGTTTCAGTTACAGTTTGTTATAGTTTCAGTTATAGTTCCAGTATAGTTTCAGTTATAGTTTCAGTTACAGTTTCAGTTACTGTTTGTAGGTTCAGTTATAGTTTCAGTTACAGTTACAGTTTGTTATAGTTTCAGTTATAGTTTCAGTTATAGTTTCAGTTACAGTTTCAGTTACAGTTTCAGTTATAGTTTCAGTTATAGTTTCAGTTATAGTTTCAGTTATAGTTTCAGTTATAGTTTCAGTTATAGTTTCAGTTATAGTTCCAGTATAGTTTCAGTTACAGTTTCAGTTACAGTTTGTTATAGTTTCAATTACAGTTTGTTATAGGTTCAGTTACAGTTACAGTTTGTTATAGTTTCAGTTACAGTTTCAGTTACAATTTGTTATAGTTTCAGTTATAGTTCCAGTTACAGTTTGTTATAGGTTCAGTTATAGTTTCAGTTATAGTTTCAGTTACAGTTTCAGTTACAGTTTCAGTTATAGTTTCAGTTACAGTTTCAGTTATAGTTTCAGTTATAGTTCCAGTATAGTTTCAGTTCAGTTTCAGTGCAGTACACTGCAGTACAACAACAGTGAGGACACTACAAGAGAAAAGTGTAAAATGAGTCAAATTGTGCGAGTAAGAAACATCGTTTATTAAGTACTCAGTAATTTTTGCATAGATCACAACATAGACTAAATTATACATATGTATGCACGTACATATATGCAGCTTGAAATAAAATTTAAAATGTAAGTTATAAAATATAAAATGTAATAATATATTACATTAAATAAAATTGTGATAATAAATTATACAAATTGTTATATAAAATTGTAGAAATAAATCATATAAATTATTGTATAAAATTGCAATAATAAATTATATGAAATGTTAAATTATATAAAATTATAGTAATGAATTATATAAATTATTTATTTATATTATATTATTTAAATTGTTATATTTTATATTATACATAATCATAAAGTAACGAATCATGCCAATTATTGTGTAATTCATACAAGTTATCACTGTGATTATAATTATAATAGATGTATATACGGTTATAGAAAATTATAATTGTAAAATAATATTAGTAATAAATAATGGCTATCGAAGAAATAGTTTATTCTTAGTTACCTAAACAGGCATGTCCGTCGGGTTCTGTCTTGTACTGCCAATCGAGCTGGCTGAGCTGCAGATAACCAGCAAGTAGAGGAACGTCAGAGATTTCCGTTTCGTCGCCACCAGCTTCCAGCAGAAGCACGTTCCAGTTTTCAATCTCAGACAGGCGACTCGCTACCACGGCGCCTATGGTAAAAATTTGATAAGAAAAAAATTAACTGAACAAATACTAATAAATAGAATTTCACCATTGAAAAGTCGTAACGGACGCAATGATTGATTACACATAATCAAACAATACATGTTTACAATTACAGATATTAGATTGGTGAAAATTTTCAATGTTTAATTTTGCTTTGTATTTTATATTCTGCGTGATAGAATTGGGTTGGTGATGAATAGACTGCATGAATCTCCGTATTTTGGGAAATATAATTAAGTTGAATGTTATATTTGTTCCATTTTATGTGCATTCTGTGGAATTCGATTGAATTGAAATTTCCAAAATTAAGTCACTCGAGGAAAAATTAAAAGGTTCAAGATTCAAGGATACCAGTTAGGGGTAATGTTAAGGAAATTTCTAGTGATCTTGGAAGATTAATTGCAGGAACTCTGTACGTTGTATGTTTAAAATAGTTATGTATATTATAATATATATAATATATATAATAATATTAAATATATATTTAATAATATTAATAATATTAAATATAATATAATATATTTATAATATATATAATATATGTAATAATATTAAATATAATATAATATAATTATAATATACATAATATATGTAATAATATTAAATTTATTAATTTCTATTTATTATTTATTAATTTAATAAATAAATACAAATAAATATAAAACTCAAACGTATATAATTGATTGAGTTCACCGTTTACTAGTGAACTCGTGAAATTTACCTAAAATTTCAAGCAACACAAGTAGAACTTTTCTGTGATCAGTTTGAAACACTTTCGCGAGCCAGTGCGTTCGCTAAATAAAACGAAAATGGAAGAAAAGATATTGATACGTCGTTGAAGGAAAGTATCAATTATAAATGTAACTTTCTCGAAGTTACTTCGTCTGAAATTGGATAGGAAGCAGGATTGAAATGTACTTAAGGAAGTGAGTGCTGTTAAGCTTGCGAAGTATAGTTCTCAAAACAAATATAACGAGCATGTTTCTCAAATACAACGACTCAGTTTGTAGACCAGTCTGCAAATAAGACTTGTCCATTTGTGAAATTGCGAGATTTTACCACAGGAAGTGGAGGAATATCGAACAGACATCGCGGTGCATAAAGTGGAAAATTTATAGTGGAAGGAAGCGAAGCTTCGCCTTGGAAGTTCAACTTTTTATAAGTAGGAGATAATCCTCAGAAGTTAGAAACATTAATTGATACATTGTCAATGAGTAAGTTAATTATTCATTTAAGCACGTGTCAATGAGTAAGTTAATTATTCATTTAAGCACGTTAAACTTCGTGTTATAATTGCTTTTGTAATACTTAACTACAATATTGTTTTTATAATACTTTTTTATAATACGTTTTTATAATAGCAATGTATAAATTTTGTTTTATGTAAAAAATATGATTTTGATCCATGATGAGTAGTATGTACCAAACAGATATAATTTAAGAAATAGTAAATTATATATTCTCTATAATTGAAATAATATAATTCTAATTATGTATTCTATAGTCTATAATTCTATATAGAATATAATCCTTATATATATTCTATATAAAATATAATTCTATATTCTATAATTGAAATAATATAATTCTAATATATATTCTATATAGAATATAATTGTATATCCTATGATTGGAATAATATAATTCTAATTATATATTCTATATTCTATAATTCTAATATATATATAATATATATTCTGTATATCTGATGTATATCTAATATATAATAATTAGATATATATTCTATGTATATATACATCTAATATATAATAATTAGATGCATATAATATATGTAATATATATTCTATATAGAATATAATTCTATATTCTATAATTGAAGTAATATAATTCTAATATATATTCTATATAGAATATAATTCTATATCCTATAATTGAAATAATATAATTCTAATTATATATTCTATATTCTATAATTCTAATATATATATATAAAATATATATTCTATATATATGTATCTATCTGATATATAATAATTAGATATATATAATATATATGTAATATATATTCTATAATTGAAGTAATATAATTCTAAATATATATTTTATATAGAATGCAATTCTATATCCTATAATTGAAATAATATAATTCTAATTATACATTCTCTATGATTAAAATAACACGAAATTGTTGCCCGTTTTATGATTAATTCGTAAAAATGAGACGCACCTGCTGAACCAGATCCAACAACAATGAAGTCGTAAGAGGGTAACAGCACTTCGGACGGTATGTTAATCGGTGGTGCCTCGTTGTCCAACACTTCGTACTGGAAGTAGACGAGGGCCGCTGCGAGAACCGGGAAGAACCATGAAAGTCCGCTCGATGCCGAGGTCAAGCCTCCCGCTACGACGCTTTCAATGCCCATTTTCTATTTCTCCGATGTTCTCTGGTCGATCGTCTGCAACATCCAGTGTATTTAACAATGCTGTGTCAAAGCTAAAATTCATCAGTAGCAGACGTTCGTTCATTTTTGTATTCAACAGCCTCCAACACAGAACCTTCGCCTGTGCTTTTCATGAGCACGATTGAGGAAATCGAATTTAAACAGAGATTCACTTTGTGTATTAAAAATCATTATTATTTTATAATTAAAGTTGTAGAATTGTTATTATTTTATGATGAAAATTACAAGACTATTATTATTTTATAATTAAAATTATAGAATTATTATTGTTTTATAAAGTTGTAAAATTTATTTACAAATTATTATTTTATAAAGGTATAGAATTATTATTTTATAAAGGTGTAGAATTATTATTTTATAATTAAAATTGTAAAATTGCTATTATTTTATAACTAAAATTGTAAAATTGCTATTATTTTATAATTAAAATTGTAAAATTGCTATTATTTTATAATTAAAATTGTAAAATTGCTATTATTTTATAATTAAAATTATAAAATTGTGTATTAAGAATTCTCTTTTTGATACATAATTTTACATTCACATTACACTTTTATCACCTTCCCATTGATAAATTTCGATTTAATTCGAAAGAAGCTGCACTCTGTAGTTTTATATGAGTGATTGAAAAGACTCGAAGAAATTCATCTCATTTTCCATTGAAAATGATTAGGAAAGCACTTGATTTTTTTGAATATTTCTTACACTTCTCAATTTTTAACATAAAATTATAATTATATAAATATAATATAAATATAGTATTAAATTAAATATAATGTAATGATATATAATATAATATATAATTTATAAATAAATTATTATATTATTAGTTATTAATATATAATATATATATATATACTTATTATATTTATATAATTTAAAATTAAATTCAATATAATATAATTTAACAAATTCAATATAACTCTCCATAATTAATTTCCCTTCGTTCGTATTTCCGGAAATGTATTAATTTGCACAGAGATCCACCTCCTCGCCATAAAATAGCGACTTTAAGAAAATCCGAATAACTCACTCATCAATTGCGCTCAACAGCTCACTATTTAATTCAACATGAAATGAAAAATCGAACCTTTGCAAGCCGGTGTCTATCCCTATTTTCTCACAGAATCCTTATTATATATTATGTTACATCGACGCGACGATTGCTATGAAGTCGGCGACTCACGGTCATTCACGGGGATGACCGGCTTAGTCGACAAGTTCCTCGACACTGTCAAATCGAAGCAGCCGCGTAGAAATCGGTCGAAGAAAAGTCCAAGACAGCTCGGGGCGCTTACACGTGGTTCGAGCACGCGTACGAGAAGAATATCAATGACACGTGAAACTTTCAGCTGTTAAGTAATTTCTCTGTTATCGCGGTCAGTATGTGTGGTCACGTGCTTACGCCATCAGCCCCTCCCCTTATTGTCGAAACATTCCGCGGGGACGAGATCGAGATTTCGATGGGAAATGCCTACGAGCTACACGAGCTAAATCAGAAAGAGAAAAATTTTTTCTTTTTCAATTTTTGAGGGGCGAAAAGTTTATTCGAAGAAGCGTCTCTTCGTTTCAGATCGGGCCACTGTGCTCGTATTCTTAATTTTGTGTTACTTTTTGATTTTCAATTTACATTACATTTTTTTATTAATTTACTTTTGTGCGTGTGTGTTCGTATTTATACGTACATTAGAATTAATTTTAATTTCAATTTTACTTTAATTTAATACACACGTGTCTGTTGTATTACATTCGTATTATTTTTACGTTTCTGTCGTATTTATGATTTCTCGATTTTTCCATTTGTGTTTTCTTGTATTTTTCTTTGCTATACTTTTGTATTTTTAATTTGTTCTATTTTTTATGTTTATATGTGTTGTGTTTATTATATGTAAACATGAAATTTATTATATATTATATATTTGTTATATTTTTTTATGTTTATATGTATTATATTTATTATATACAAACAAAATTTATTATATATTATATATAAACATAAAATTTATTATATATCATATGTATTGTATTTATTATTTTGTATTTTTAATTTGTTATATTTTTTATGTTTATATGTATTATATTTATAATTTATATAAATTTATAAATTATATAATATTATATTATAATTATATTATTTATTATATAATATTATATACTTTATATTATAATTATATAATATTATATAATTTATATTATAATTATATTTTTTATACATTTTATATATATATATATATATATATATATATATATATATTTACTTTTATATTTCTTAATATATCTGTACTTACTATCAATTCATGAATTATTTATACATTTCTTCGTTATATTCAATCGTAATTTTAATTGAACTTATTCGAATTCGTATTAAAATAAAATGTCAGAACTGTTGAAGTGACGACTTCGTTTTACTCACGTATATTAATATTTCGTAATATAATAACAATACAGACTACTGTTTAATAGCTAACGAAATTATTATTTCATTCCTTTCAATAACAGTATTAAAATGTATACGAAATTTCGTAGTGTAATAATGAATCTCGAAATTTCAGCAAGGACGAACGAATTCTGCACTCGAACAGAGATTCGAGCGCGTTTGAAAAGGAAAGCAGCAGTTGCTCACCTACTTTTCCAACAACGCTGAATACACCGTGCAGTCTAGAATCTTCTTCTCGTCTAAATAACCGTCATGCATCTAGAATCCCCGGATATGATTGTGATCTCGTTGCTTCGACTGTCTGGTGGTCACACGATTTCATACTGTGTTCGTTCGAATCTTCGTTTCACAAGAATCGTCCAACGTAAAACTAACACAGTTTGTAAATAGGTCGCTGAAACTTTAATCGTGATCGATCGAACCGACTGTATTAGTGAACGAAACAAATTTCACTTGCGAAAGTTTAATCAGAAATATTTCTTCGTACATCGAAATCTCGCCGCCAATGTTCGTAGTCGTAGAGATACTCTTTCAACTGTAGAAACATAATTCGTTTGACCTCTTGCGCTGGAATGGCGTGGTGTCACGCACGTCGAGAATATTTTTCGTCGCAAAATTGTAATATAATATTGTCTCAGTCTTAAGTCAAATAAAATAGGCGAAGCAAATAATAAATTTATTACTTCTCGATCATTTCTATTTCCAGTGATTTCTATTATCATGCCGACGAGTTCAAACAGAGGGCGACGAATTGTTGTTTCACGGTGGTTTTTGGTCGCTCGTTATGGTCCGCAGTCGGTTGCCAGTTGCGCGAGTGGTTAAATCCTTCGGCGATCCTTTTTTCGTTTCGTTCAAAATTCTTGTTTCCAGCGATTCGAAATTACTTTGTCGCCGAACAACGCTCCCAATGACCCCCACTGCGACACCGAACTTAAGAACGGAGTCATTTAAAAAACAAGCCCCCGAGTTTTCTCAAAATGCGATGCTTTTTTTTCTTTTCGCGAGTCGCCGACTCGCGGGAAATGCGCAGCACACGTTCCAAAAATATAATATTCCGCAAAAACCGACGAAAATTATTCTGAAAGGGATCGATGCTTCCAAGGGGTCGTCGATTTTGTCGCCAAACTTAGAGTTCCGCCTTAAAAAGGTGGAAAGTATGTCACCAAAAGACGTCGAGTCGATACCCTCCCATCGGGAACTTCACAGTTTCGCGAACAGTTTACATTTACATAAATATGTGGCTGCCGGTTGAAGGACAGTGTGACACTGAGTACGAGCGTGCTCTTGACACTGCTTTTTAACATGGTGGATTTATCGAGATCGGGATAGCGGAGTAACATACAACAGAGAGGAAGAAGAAGAACAGGTTACCGAACCTTTCGGAGCCGAACGTGCCGCATAACGGTCCTCCGCCTCTCTCTTTCTCCTCCTTCTCTCTCGATCTCTCCTCCTCGCGTTCATCTTTCTTCTCTGTCCTTCATCGTCCGGCTCGCCCCATCGAAATGGAACTCCACCGTGGAATTTAGTGAAACCCCCTCCGGATTACGTTCTCCGCGTTCTATATTTTATCTCGTCATTTTCGTACGTCGTGTGTGTGTGTGTGTGTGTGTGTTTGTCGCGTGGTTAGCTCTAATAATGATTTTAACGTTTTAATGGAAGAAAAAATGTAATTAAATTTCTGTTTAGAGTCTCGCTAGCGAACGAGAGAAAGTTTCCCAAAGGTGTTGTTAGATATTAAATCCTATCTTACTGAAGAAAATATTTTCAGTAAGAAATATATTTGTGAAAAGTGTTTCCAAAGAAGAAGAAACATGTTGCAGTAAAAATGTTATTTCGTTTGGTGGGCAGATACTTATTTTCTACAAAGTACTTTATTTTCTTATAGATATATAATGTAAGATATATATCTACAACTAAATATTTAATATTATATTACGTAATTTATACTATGTTATACTACATTATAGTAATATAATATAAGATATATATATATCTAAAACTAAATATTTAATATTATATCATATAATTTGTACTATAGTAATATTATATTATATAATCTATAGTAATATAATATAAGACATATATCTAAAACTAAATATTTAATATTATATAATCTATAATCTATACTATAGTAATATAACTACAGTAATATACTGTAGTAATATAAGATATATATCTGAAATTAAATATTTAATATTATATTATATAATCTATAATCTATACTATATTATCTATAGTATAATAATATGACACAAGATAAACATTTAAAATTAAATATTTAATATTATATCATATAGTCTATAATTTATACTATATTATCTATATAACTATATAACTACAGTAATATACTATATTATACTATAGTAATATACTATATTAGTAACTTAATATACTTACTATATTACTTCATGTAGTAATATTGTGTAGTATTATTACTTATTATTGTACATATAGTAATATTATACTATATTATGTAATAATACTATAATCTAATATTACTATGTAGTAATTACTAAGTAGTATTACTACATGAAGTAATATAGTAAGTATATTAAGTTACTAATATAGTATTATTACTTAATATAGTATATTAACAATACTATAATATAATCTTACTATGTAATAATAATAAGTAATAATACTACACAATATTACTTATAACTTACTAATTACTTATTACTTATAATATTATAACTTACTAAATATACTTTATTACTTATAATATTATAACTTACTAAATATACTTATTACTTATAATATTATATTATAGTATTATAACTTAATATAGTAATATATTGTATTATCTATACTATAGTAATATAATAGAAAATATACATACATCTATTTCTATACTAATACTATATATAATACTTCCATCATGATCTTCCATGTCTTTTCACTTTTTGTTCTTTTCCTATTACAATCCAAAGTTAAGCGTTTCGTCCCGCCAACCATTTTCCCCTGATATATTTTCGTATCTTCACACAAAAAGAATAAAAAGGTTAATTTAATTTCGTTTCGAATTTCGGTGTGTCAGCTCAGAATCAGAGATAGTTGATATTAGATTATTTAGCCAAGATAATGCTATTCGAGAACAGCCAATAAGGTAACCAATGGTTTGGAAATATAAAGTGTGCCTCGATAGTAAATTTAAAATAAAAATTACGTGGCGCGTGTCACGTTCTCGCGGTGAACGCGATGTCCTGTATTCGGGGAATCGTTTTCGACAACGTCACCGAGTGATGTTACGGTAAAGAGTTGGCTGACACCGACCGCTACACAACACAACGGCCTACTTACTGTTGCAACACTAGGCCTATCGTGATTATGTGTAACGATCGTTGAATTGCAAATCGAATCGTGGCGTCGTGGCAAACGCAACGTTTCGAGTTTCTATTGTCTATTGGCCATTTTTCATCCTGGCTCAGTACCAAACGACCAGAGAGTATAAAATTTGCAGCGGAGAAATACGAAGCGCGAGAAATAGAAAAAAAATTTGTAATAACAATAAAGAAGCTACGAGCTATCATTTGTATATATTTTATATATTTGTATATATTTTATATATTGTATATATTTTACTAAATATCGCTCGACGTGTCATAAGTACATTTTTAGAGAAAATTATAAATTATATAACATTTTAAATTATATATAAATATTTTAATTATATATAAATTATATATATATATATTTTAATTATATATAAATTGTATATAAATATTTCAATTATATATAGATTGTATATAAATATTTCAATTATATATAAATTGTATATAAATATTTTAATTATATATAAATTGTATATAAATATTTTAATTATATATAAATTGTATATAAATATTTTAATTATATATAAATTGTATATAAATATTTTAATTATATATAAATTGTATATAAATATTTTAATTATATATAAATTGTATATAAATATTTTAATTATATATAAATTGTATATAAATATTTTAATTATATATAAATTATATATGTATATAATTATATATAAATTATAATATTGGTCATTTTGACCATTTTGCTTGCTTTAAAGCGTTAAGCTTTACTATACTTTTTTTCCTTCAAATTTGAAAGAAATTCGACTCGAAAAGGAAGCACGGCTCATCTCGATAACGTGATGATTCACACTACGTGATAAACCATACTTTCTCGAATGCTTTCTACTTCTAAATACGTATCGATAGTTACAAAATTTGTGAGAGAGGAATTTCGAAAAAATTCGATACGATCGATTTCACTTTCGCGTCGATTTATTATACATTAACGCTCGTAGAATCAGCAGCACAATTGTACAAATAACACAAATAATTGTCGTAGTTATTAACATGCAATTTATTAAGTTATATATATTATTTGTATTTATTATATTATATTTATTATAATTATAATATTTGTAGTATATTACGCACGTTATATGCAATTACTTAAATACAAAGTCTGTGCTAATTAAACAAATTAATTAAATTTTCTCTATCTGAAAATTTTCCATAAAAATCGACAGCTTATTAAACGTTGAACAATTTACAGCGATGCTGTAATAAAATTCATGTGGAAACGTTCATTATATCCACGTCATTTGAAATTGCTCTTTAAATATGTGTACAATTATATGTGTACAATTATATATACGTATTATTATAATTACAGATGTGATTAATGAACAATGACTATACATTGTTAGCCCACATTAATTATTAATATATAGTGATTTGCATTAGGTATTAATTAATTAGCATTATTATTGACAATATACTATAATATGTGTATACATATACTGTAATATTCTATACAGTATATATACCGTAATAATATATTATTAATATAGTATACTATTAATGTACTATTAATATAGTATACTATTAATCTATTATAGTAATATATTATTAATATAGAATACTATATATTATTATACTAATATATTACTAATATAATATACTATAGTAATATATTATTAGTATAGTATACTATTGATATACTATTATAATATATTATTAATATAGTATACTATTAATCTACTATAATAATATATTATTAATATAGTATACTATTAATATACTGTAATAATATATTATTAATATAGTATACTATTAATGTACTATTAATATAGTATACTATTAATCTATTATAGTAATATATTA